GGCTGAGCTCACACAGATTCTGGACACAGTCAGACCTGAGTTGGTCTCCTAGCTCCACCCCTGTCAAACTATGCCATTAGACTAGTCATCTCCTGGCTAGATACTTGAATTAATTGGGGATTGGGAAGTTACTGGAAGGCTGAAATGAGCTACTATACAACATATAGGCAGGAACTTCGCATACTAAGACTTCTGGTCTGATTATTCTGGAGTCTGAGCGCTCCTAGAGCTCACTTTCAGATTCCCTCTGATCCCAGCATGATAGGCTCCTTCTGGTCAGTTCTTGGCTCAAATGTAATATTAGAGATGCCTTCCCTGACAGAGAGTCAAACTGTGCCTCTCATCCCACTGAGACTTTTGTGCGTATCCTCGTGTGGTTTGTTTTGTTTTTTAAGATTTTCTTTCTTTCTTTCTTTCTTTCTTTCTTTCTTTCTTTCTTTCTTTCTTTCTTTCTTTATTTTAAGATTTTATTTATTTGTAGGAGAGACACAGAGAGAGAGGCAGACACAGGCAGAGGGAGAAGCAGGCTCCATGCAGGGAGACCCATGTGGGACTCGATCCTGGGTCCCCAGGATCACGCCCCGGTCTGAAGGCGGCACTAAACCGCTGGGCCACCAGGGCTGCCCAGATTTTATTTATTTATTCATGAGAGACACAGAGAGGCAGAGACATAGGCAGATGGAGAGGCAGGCTCCCTGCAGGGAATCCGATGCAGGACTCGATTCCAGGACCCAGGGTTCACGACCTAAGCCGAAGGCAGATGCTCAACCACTGAGCCACCCAGGCATCCCATCTGTGTTATTTCTTCATAGCAATCCCTACCATCTGAAATATGCTTATGTATTATCCATCCCTGCCCCACCCCATCTCCAACAGACTATAGATAACTTATTTGTCTTATTTGGGCTAGGCACGTTATAAATATTCAGGAAGTGGTCACTGAATGAATGAATGAACAGGTGCGGGGAACAATGGCATAAAAAGGGGAGAAGCACCATTAGAAAACAAAACAAAACAAAACAAATTTGGAGACTGGGAAGAAGAGAAACAATGGACAGCCAGGGACCCAGCATCCAGCGACACTCAGTGTCCCTTCCCTTCTCCTGCTCACTCCACCTGCTTATGAAGCCAGCCTCGGATGTGCACTGGGAGGTTGGGATCCCTTCTGAGCGCATTGCCTCTCTTCCCGAAGGCGTGCACCTTGCTTACTGCCCGGGTAGGCTTCTGAGGAGAGATGGAGGACAGAGATGAACAGGGCCTTGGATCGGCCTGGGGAGGCAATGCCACGGGATGCAGGCAACCCAAGGCCCTCGCTCAGCTGCCCTTAGAAAACAAGCCGAGGAGGGGATTGAATCTTGAGATCAGAATTGGAAGTGCATGGTACCAGTTGACAGACACTTTGAATAGGCGACTGGCGGGGGGGGGGGGGGGTGTTTAAGGCAAAAGAAAAAGCTACTGACTGATGGGGGAGGGATGGGAGAATCAAGGGTCTGCTGCCAAGGAGAGGATGCCTTTGGCCACCAGAGCCAGAGATGTTGTGCAGTCTTTGGGATCAGAATTGGAAATACTGCCTGGGAGGTCCCCATAACCAGGAAAGACATCCATGCTGAGTCCCTGGTGATGGGTCAGCTGAATGGGAGGATGCCTCAGTGCCAGGGAGTGACATCTCTTAGCAACCACATCCAGGGCAGAGAGATGGCTCCAAGCCCCTCCTTGCCAATAGAGGGGAGCCCCCTCTCCAGTCCATGCAGGCATCTCAGGCATACACAGCCAGAGTCCCACAGGAAGCCATTCCTTGGGGATGCCGCTGACCAAGGTTGGGACTGAATCTCTAGATTCTGAACTGGGGAAACTGGAAATGAGTAAACAGAGTGGCAGACGACAAAGAAATGAGTGTTGTCATTAGACTTTGGCCTGGGGTGACTATTTGTGACACAAGTGTCTCAGGCCTCTTGGGTCCTCATTGTCAGAGAAAGGTCTTTCCTTATAGGATTTCAAAACTGGGTAGGATGGCTAGAGGTAGGATAGGGAGTTCTCGGTCCCAGTCAAGGGCAGCCACTGCCTGAGTTCCTGGAGGGAGCCTCATGGCTGGGGAGTAGCCCTATCTTAGCAACCAGAGTCCAGCAGGATCGTTACTCTGGTTAAATTAGGAAAATACGAAGGGGTGGGGACAGCTGGGAGTGCCTCTGAATTCCTAGCTGGGCCTCATGGGCAATTTGGGACCTTACTAGGTGTAGCAGAGCCCACTGCTACGGATCCTTGCTCTTAGCAACGGGAATCCCTTGGGTTGGCACGGAACCCTGGGCTGGGAAACAGGAGGATGGGGCAGCCCAGAGCTCAGCCCTCCTCCCCACCCCTTCCGAAAAGCTCCAACCTTGGTGCTCAGGCTGCCCAGAGAGGAGATGGTGGAGGCGCTGCTGGCCAGGCTGAGGCTGCTCCGGGGTCTGCCCTCCTCCATCCAGGGCTTGGGGAGAGAAAGAAAGGGGCTGTGTGCCTTGTCTCTGCAGCTGACCCGGCTGGGGACAGAGCCGGGGTCAGGAGCTCGCAGGTCGGAGGAGGCCGAGGAGAAAGAGCCCGTTGTCTGGGGACTGGGGGGCTGGGGGAGGCCCTGGCCCGGGACTGCATACCGAGAGCGATGCCAACAGAGGTGGGCGGCACTGGCAGCTGCTAGCAGCCCAAGACAGAGAATAGGGGCTCCTTTATTCTTGCCCCCTGCACTCTCGCCAGGAATTTGACCCTCTCTGTGCTCAGGGAGCCCCTATTCTCCGGCTCTTCCCAGCAGCCCCCAGCTACCTGTCTCCTGCCCTCCCACACACCCCCCCAAGCCATTCCTGCCAAGCCCTGGGACGCCTGGAATGCACGCCCAGGCACTCCCTCCCAGGCCAGCCAGGGAACTTACCAGCTCTGGGGTCCCAAAGACGGAGCGAGAGGACAGTGTGGGTGCTGGGGCTCCCAGCTGCAGTGTCCCTCCTTTTCTGGGGGGGCGGAGGGGGCTACCTCTCAGACCTGTCTCCCTTCTCACCTGCTCACTCACACGCTTTTTTGCTTTTTTTTTTTTTTTTTTTGTCTCTTGCCTCTTCTGATCACTGTTCCCTTTCTTTCCGAGTGTCTCTGTCTCTGGCCTCACCTGGTCTCTCCGGTTCTCAATCTGTCTCCTCCAGTCTCTCTCTCACTCATTCTCTTCCCCGCCCCCCACCTCAGCACTTTCCCTTCCAGTCTTTCTGTTTCTGTTCCAGATCTTTTTCGTTCGGGCTGACACAGAGTCTCTTCCTCAGGTCTCCATTTCGTTCTTCCCCCCACCCCCACCCTCTAGCTCTTCCTCCTTCTCTCTATCTCTGTCCCCACCGACGCTGTTTCCTCCTCTCTCTCAGATTCCCCTTCTGTCTTCCTCCCCTCTCCGTTTCTCTTTCCTCCCTGCTGGTCTGCCAGCCGCCCACGCTGCGGTCTCCCCTTCCAATCCCGGTTGACCCCGCCCCTCCTGGCCTCCCCCCCCCTTTCCAAGCCTGACCCCTGGCTCCGCTGCCCCCACAGCTGAGGGGAGGGGCTGGGGCTCCCCTGACTCCTGGGTCCCTGCTGGGCTGGGATTCCTAACTGTTTGGAGAGGAGGAGCTGGGCCTGGACTCCAGGGCCCGGGTCACTGTACCCTAAAAGGAGGTAGCTGAGATCCTGGAATAGAGGGGGCTCACACTTCTGGATACACGAAAAGGTGTAAAGGTGTGAGCCTGGAGTTAGAACTCCTGAGTTGTTAACGGAGTCCGGCATCTGGAAAGGTGTTTCTGGGTGGACAGGACCAGGTTTTCCAGAGAGGAGGGAGTGACCCCGGATTCCTGGATCATGGCTAGGGCAGGGTCAAGGGGCCATGGCCAAACATCTATCTCAGATCCAGGTGTGTTCTCACTGAGGATATTTCAAGGAGCAAAATTAGGGTCCAGGTAGGAGGGATGGGGCAGGGAATTGGGACTGTGTCCCAGAGTCTGAAACTTGTGGCTGGAGACCCCACTCCCATGAGGTTCAGTGGATGCTCTTTGGCCAAAATTTCGGTTGGTGTATGAGCTCTTGTGAGTTTGAAGTGGATGAAATCCAGGTGCTGAGCCTTGGGCTTGAGACCAGTTAAGGAGTCTTTTGAGGTTTTGGTTTCGAATCCACTCACCCAAATATGTCGAGCACCTACTATGTGTCCAGCACCGAGAAAAGAAAAAAAAAAAAGCAGTGATTATGGGGATCCCTGGGTGGCTCAGTGGTTTAGTGCCTGCCTTGGGCCAGGGCCTGATCCTGGAGTCCCGGGATCGGGATCGAGTCCCGCATCAGGATCCCTGCATGGAGCCTGCTTCTCCCTCTGGCTGTGCCTCTGCCTCTCTCTCTGTTTCTCTCATGAATAAATAAAATCAAGAAAGAAAGAATGAAAGAAGAAAGAAGAAAGAAAGAAGAAAGAAGAAAGAAAGAAAGAAGAAAGAAAGAAGAAAGAAAGAAGAAAGAAAGAAAGAAGAAAGAAAGAAGAAAGAAGAAAGAAAGAAAGAAAGAAGCAGTGAGCAAAGCCAAGTGCCTGCCTTCAGCGTGCTTGCATTCTTGTTCTCATCTGCAATCAATGTGGATTGCTGTGACCACTTCCGCCAAGGGGCTTCATTCCGGAGCCTCAGTTTCTCATCTGTGAAATGGAGTCAACAATCTCCCCAACCAGGAAGGAAGCGGGACCGGTTGTGAAGGGGGAGACTCTGGTCTGAGGCCTGCTGATTACACTGGGGTTTTGGGAAGGCGTTTTCGCACCGGAACGGGAATTGGGAGAAAATCCGCGGCTCCCGAAGCCCGGGACGCATTTGATTGACAGCTCGCCCGTTTCGGGCGTGGTCACGCTCGGAAACGTCGCTGTGTCGTCATAAAACCCTTGGAATCTCCGCGAGAATTCCAATCCCGAGCCCGGTGGTTTTGGTTTCAAAGCCCCGCCCCGTGACGTCAGCACGTGAGGTTGCGTTGGGCTATAAAAGCCTTTGGAGGCTGCGTCAGTTCCAAGCTCTGCTGTGCAACTTACACGCTCAGTTTCAGGACGCCGCATCCCTTCGCCGCGACAGTGCTTGCAGCAGCAGGTGGTACCCGGAGTCCCCAAGCCCGACACCGGAGGGCGAGATGAACGCGCTGGCCTCCCGAGCCGTCCTGAGCTGCGATCGCTGGTGGCAACCCGAGCCGGCGCTCCTGCCCCCAGGTTGACGCGTAGCCCCCCATCGGTGAGTGAGGGGTCCGAACGCCTGGGCCCCGAGCAGTTGGGGAGCTGGGGATCAGACTCCTGGTCAGTAAGGAGAAGGGAGTTTGCATTTCTGGGTACCGAGACAGGAGAATTTGAGGCCAGGACTCCAGGATCCTGAGGAAGGAGGGCCTGGGAACCGGAACTCCTGTATTTGGGGAGAGATGGGACCAAGACAGATTCGAGGGCCCAGACCTACGCAGGAGAAGAAATTGGGAGCCTGGAGGCCTGAGCCTGGCGAGAGGAGGGTTCTGGAAGCCAGACTCCTAGATTCCTGGTGGAAGGGATGGAACTGGGCGGGGGTGTGGGGTGGGGGGGGGCTGCAGTTCTTGAGTCTCAGAGGGAGGAGGGTGATGAGGGCCTGATTTGTCGATCCTCAAGAAGATGACAGAACCAGGGACTAGGACCTTGTCCCCAAGGGAAGCAAGTCGAGGACCTGTGTTCTCAATTCTGGGGTCTGGGACTGCTGGGTCTGAGAGAAGAGGCTGGAACCTCTGACTCCTGGGTATTGAGAGAAGAGAGGTGGGAACCGCTGTGCCTCTGGTAGAGATGGAAGTGGCAGAAATCAGCAAGAATGTGGGGCAGGGACTCTCTTGTTGCTATTTGTGTTACTGTTTATGGTTGCTATGACTCAGTCCTCGCTTGATACTCTTCCCTAAATGGCTTCTAAACTAGTTCCTTTGTTTATTTCCAGCGCAGACAGATGGCCCCAGGCCAAGTGCCCCATCAGTCTGTCCCCTGGAGGGATACCTACCCCTTTTTCCTCCTGTCCCCGCTGATGGGCCTTCTCAGCAGGGCCTGGAGCCACCTGAGAGGCCCAGGATCTCCAGAACCCTGGCCGTGGGAAGCAGTAACCAAAACCGATCGGGGAAAACCTGGCCTGGAGAGAGAAGCTAAGACTTTTCTGGCCCCTCACCATCCCCTCTGGGGCAGGCACTTTCAAGAAGAGACTGGAGACAGTGGAGCAAGTGACGAGAATGGAGAAGCATTCTGGGGGGCCCGCCATAATCTAAAAGCCAACAGTTCTTCTCTTAAAGCGGGGGGACTTTCAGATAATGAAGATGAAGAATATGGTGGGGAACAAGCAGCAACCAGTGTCCCTAAAGAGCAGGAAGGTGAATTCCTAGATGGCCAGCCTGCTCCCCTGTCCCCCAGCCTTCTGATAAGAACCCCACAGGACCCTTCTGAGGAGAAATCTGAGGAAGGAGGAGCTGCAGAAGACAAAGTGGTCATGTTCTTCTCTTTTCCTCCATCACACTGGGAGTGTTGTCCAGGGGAGGAAAAGGAGGAAGGAGGAGCTATAAACAAAGAAGCTTCCAGAACACCGATTTTCCCTTTATCTCCAAGATCCAAACCCAAAACTCGGGTGTACTGTCCCAGGGAGGAAGAAGATAAAGCCATAGAGGAAGAAAGAACAGAGGATAAAGAAGCCACAAAAAGCTCCATTTCCTCCTCATTTTCAGGCTTTTGCCCCGGGGCCTGGGAGTGTTACTCAGGAGAGGAATGGGAGGAGGAGGAGGATGAATTCAGTGATTCAGGAGCAGCTGAGGAGGAAGGAGAAGCTGAGGTTCTCTCTTCCATCCCATCCACAAGTGCCCTCATGAGGGCCTGGGTGTATCGGCCAGGAGAGGACTCAGAGGAAGAAGATGAGGACAGTGATTCAGGAGCAGCTGAAGAGGAGGGAGCTGAGGATCCCTCCTCCATCCCATCCACAAGTGCCCTCATGAGGGCCTGGGTGTATCGGCCAGGAGAGGACTCAGAGGAAGAAGATGAGGACAGTGATTCAGGAGCAGCTGAAGAGGAGAGAGAAGCTGAGGATCCCTCCTCCATCCCATCCACAAGTGCCCTCGTGAGGGCCTGGGTGTATCGGCCAGGAGAGGACTCAGAGGAAGAAGATGACGGTGACTCAGGAGCAGCTGAAGAGGAGGGAGAAGCTGAGGATCCCTCCTCCATCCCATCCACAAGTGCCCTGGTGAGGGCCTGGGTATATCGGCCAGGAGAGGACTCAGAGGAAGAAGATGAGGACAGTGATTCAGGAGCAGCTGAAGAGGAGGGAGAAGCTGAGGGTCCCTCCTCCATCCCATCCACAAGTGCCCTCGTGAGGGCCTGGGTGTATAGGCCAGGAGAGGACTCAGAGGAAGAAGATGAGGACAGTGATTCAGGAACAGCTGAAGAGGAGGGAGAAGCTGAGGGTCCCTCCTCCATCCCATCCACAAGTGCCCTCGTGAGGGCCTGGGTGTATAGGCCAGGAGAGGACTCAGAGAAAGATGATGATTCAGAGGCAGTTAACTCAGAGCCAAGTCCCTCACTTCAGGCTCAGAGCACCCTCCTCAGGGGCTGGACATACCAGCCTGGAGAGGACACAGAGAGAGGGGGAGAAGCTGAGCCCTGCCCCTTCCGAGTGGCCATCTATTTACCTGGAGAGAAGCCACCACCTCCCTGGGCTCCTCCTCGGCTGCCCCTCCGACTGCAGAGGCGACTCAAGCCCCCAGAAACCCCCACCCAGCATCCAGACCCTGAGACTCCCCTAACGGCCAGAAAGGTGGGTACTGAGGGTTCAAATTCTCAAGTCTTAGGGGAAGAGCTGGAAGTCCTAGGCCTGGGGGCAGAAGGCCTGAATGCCCCAATTTCTGGACCCCCTGTGTGTTGCAGGGGATTGCATGCAAACCCTGTTGGGAGGGTTGTGTTCACTGTAATGCAATCCTTTGCAAGAGGCTGGGGCCCCATGGGAAGAGGCCCTGTGGGAAGAGGGAAGCTGTTGTGGTTCATGTCAGCACCAGGAAACAGCCTCCACCTGCAGTGAGTCACATGGAGAATCCCGTGGGTGAGTGACTAGCAGGTGACTAAGATAACAAGCATTTTTGTGCAACTAATAAATGTTTTGGCTCTCTCTCTCTCCCCCCCTCCCCCCTGTGGACACGTATGTCTTGTGTCTGTGCTGGTCCGTCTCCAGGTCCATTTCTCCAAGAAAGTCTCTGTCCATCTCCTGGCTGTCTGGGCAGGACCGGCTCAGGCCGCCCGCCGCGGACCCTGGGAGCAGCTCGCCCGGGATCGTTGTCGCTTCGCCCGGCGGATCGCCCAGGCCCAGGAGCAGCTGGGCCCCTGTCTCACCCCTGCTGCCCGGGCCAGGGCCTGGGCACGCTGCAGGAACCCTATCCCTCCTCTGGCCACCACACCTGCTCCTGCCCAGACTTTACCAGTCTCCTCCATCCAGACCACACCCTTGAGCCATGTTGGGGCATCTCCCTCCATTCCTATGTCCCTATCCCCTGGCCTGGACCTCAGTGGGAGGCGTGGCTAAGATCATGTAGTTTCCTATTTATATGAACTATTTATTTTGTGTGTGTGGTTTCATACAAGAAATAAAACCTTCTGATTTGTAGCAAGCAATGTCCCCTGTGTGTATGTTACTGTCTGTATCTGAACCAACAATAATCCACCACCCTTGGGATAAAGGTGAGTACCTCAATACAGGACAAACTTTCTATTTCCCATCATCCCTCAAATTTGCCTCTTCTTGTCCTGAAGCTGCTTTTGAACCTAAGGGCTGGTGGGTTTTGTCACTTTTCTTTGGCATCGGCCTAAATTTTATTAAACTTGGGAGTTACCTCTTCTAGGGGGCCTGGGGCTGGGCTCACTGATCTCTAAAAAAAGGTTCAATTCCAGCTTTCTGGACCTCCCTGGAATCAACTTATCTTCCTACTGGCCTTTTTTTTTTTTTTTTTTTTAAGATTTTTATTAATTTATTCATGAAGACACAGAGAGGCAGAGACAGGCAGAGAGAGAAGCAGGCTCCATTCAGGGAGCCCGATGTGGGACTCTTACCTGGGACCACGGGATCACACCTTGAGCTGAAGGCAGATGCTCCACTGAGCCACCCAGGTGTCCCCCCCCTACTGGCCTTTAAATGGTGATTTGCAATCCTGGGGTCCTGAGATTGAGTCCTGCATCAGGCTCCCTGCAAGGAGCCTGCCTCTCCCTCTGTGTCTCTCATGAATAAATAAAATCTTTTAAAAGTACATAAATATATGGTGATTTGCTCAAGGCTTTCGGCTGTCCAATTTCACCTTTGTAAGCCCTGTTCCATAAGCTGTTTTCTTACCCATAAAATGTGGCTAAAAATAGCACATGCCTTACAGGACTCTAAGGCCCCAAAAGAGCTCAGATTTATTTGCATTTTTAATTTTTTTTTTAAGATTTTATTTTTAATCCCTACATCCAACATGAGGGTTGAACTCACAACCTTGAGATCAAGATCCCACTGTTCACCCACTGAGCCAGCCAGGTATCCCAAGTTTATATTTAAAACAGTCCTTACCAAAATAAATAAATAAAAATAAAACAATCCTCACCAAATAACCAATGTTATGTAAGTGTGGCTAGTATGGTAATTATTTTCACTCTCACCCGTGCACGTCTTAAATTACCCATCCAAGTTTACAACTTCAACTTAGAAGTCTTTTCTGACCTCCTAAGATCTGTCCAGTAGTTCGAAAAAGAGTGGTGCAAATATCCTGCCCCCTGGCCTGCCTCTGACCCTGCCCTGCTCTGTTGGCTCCCCAAGCTCCTGCCACACTATCCTTTCATTTTCCCAAACCCATCAAGCCCCTTTTCACCGTAAGACCTTCGTATGAGCTCTGCCTACTGCCTGATGTGCTGATCCCTCTGGCTCTAGTTCCTTGTGATTTTTCAGATGTGGCATGAAAATCACTTTTTAAAAAAAATTTTTTTTTTTAAATTTATGATAGTCACACAGAGAGAGAGAGAGAGGCAGAGACATAGGCAGAGGGAGAAGCAGGCTCCATGCACCGGGAGCCCGACGTGGGATTGGATCCCGGGTCTCCAGGATGGCGCCCTGGGATCAAAGGCAGGCACCAAACCACTGCGCCACCCAGGGATCCCTGAAAATCACTTTTTTAGAGACACCTTAATCTGACCCAGCTGACCTGTGCTCCAGCGTGCTTTTCTCTTTTGCAGCAGAGGAGCATTTGACTTTTTTTTTCTTTTTTTGATTGTTTAAGACCCATCCATCTTCCATGACTCTTTGAGTTTGGCAAAAGCAGGTGCTGCCAAGAAGCCTACCCACTCCCTGGAGCAGAGGGAGGACTGGGCCCCCAGGTAGTGTATGATGTGTTGGTTATGTTGTGTTATGTTGTGTTGGTTATGACAAACCATAACCGTGGTGCAAACGAAGGCACGCGGGGGCCCTTTCTCCAAATGAGCAGGCACATCAGCTGGTAAGGGTACAGCATTTCACTGGATTACGCACAGGCCAGCTTTCCATCGAAAGTGGACAAGCAGATGGCAAAGGCTTGGAGTGGGCAAAGCGGGAAGCGGAAGTCCATGGTGAATGTGTCCGGGGCCACGCGGCGGAACTGGAGCACGAGGTAGTCCACTGAGGAGGAAGTCAGGAACTAAGCCTAGCCCCACCTCTCAACTCCCTTCCAAGGTCCTCTGAACTCAGAGAACTCTTACTTCTCCGAGGCTGTGCTGAGCTCCCACTAAGTCCAGAAACCCTGAGGGCCATTTAAACTACAGCTCCCAGCAGGTTTTGCAACGGCGTGGAATCGGCCCTGCCTAGAAAAACGCTCAAGGGCTGCTGGGAGAAGTAGTTCTCGTCCTCTCATTACCCTTTGCCCAAGTTTATAAACTGATTCCTAGGAGCTCACGGCCATCCGGATACACGATCTGGAAGTTCTTGACTGAGGCCTGAGTGACTCGACCGTGAAAATTGAGTGCGTAGGTGCCGTTCTCCTGGCTCCACAAGGGGGTTTTGTTTTGCAGCAGGATGAGCCTCTGGGTGGCCCCCCGTTGGAAACGACTCAGTAGTGACTCCAGCCCCTAGAAGATAAAGTAGGGGGCATGGTTAACTGCCACCAATGAACTTTTTTTTTTCTCCAGACTCAGAATTTTGAGTCCCTAATCTCTCCTCCTTGACAAACATAAAAGTCTGACAAAGCCCTTCTGGCTTCACATATGACCACCTGCAAGCCGTAGGCCCTCTTCTCCCTTAGGACCTAGAGCAGATCCCCCAGACCTTCCTCCCCGTCTGGACCCAGAGTCTCAACCCAACTTTTAGCCAACTCACGTTTTGTGGCTGGACACTGATTCTCTGGTTCTGGGCATCGATTTCTGGAATGATCACATTCATTTTCTGTGGTCCTCGGAATCCCAAGATGTTGGTCTCCTGGGGGTAGTATGCTCCAGTTAGCCTGGCTCTTTTCTCCCTCCCTACCGTCCTGCTTCATTCGCTCTTGTCTCCCAGACACTCACATAACACACAGCCCCCAGCTCCTCTCTGATGCGAGCGGTCTCCGGGACGAAATTCTTCCTTTCAGGATTCACCCCATTGTCAAAGATGGTGAACTTAGTACCCAAGACATTAGATCTGCTCCAAGAGGTCAGTGGTCAGAGTAAAGGTAATTACTGTTTTGCTGTACATTAAGTGCTTTCCTATGTCATCAATTCTTCCCATTAACCCTCTACTTGGGACTTAAGTTCCATATTCCATGTATCCATAGTGCCAGCCCCCTCTGTTTCTTTGATGAGCCATGATTTTAGCCCCCTGCCTTTTAGGAACTTTCCTGCCCCTAAGATGCAAGAATGCACTCATCGCAGCCCTCTCCCATAGGGGGAACTTGGGAGTTCCACCACCTTGCCTCCCAAGAAGTCAAATGTCTCAAATGTCAGCCTCTGCTCCAAAGCCCTTAAGTCCTCTTATTCCCACTCACAGTGGGGCTACCACCTGAAGAAATACACAGCCTGTCAGCCTGGCTCTTAAGATAAAAGGTCCTAGAGCCCGTGGGACTTAGCTATGTGGCCGGCTTGTCCTTTCCTCCCCTGCCCCTTCCGCCACCCTGAGGCTTCTTGCTACCTGTTTCTCACACATATCATGGCTCTGCCCACCTGACTTTGCCCACAAAGTTGTTCCCATCCCGAGATAGGTCTGTGGGGTCCAGAGAGATGAGGTAATTGGAGGTTTTGCTTTTTTTTCTCTTGCGCCAGCCAGAAGGAAGTGCTGTGGATAGGAAGAGCCCATCAGAATCAATTTCTGACATCTGGTTAGGGTTAGAGGTCCAAGACAAGGAGACACCGTGTTCCCAGGACAGAGGAGAGGGTAATGGAGCAATAAGCATCCCAAGCCTTGCTGGGAGATGTGGTTCTCACAGAAGGAAATCATCAGCTGGGTCCTGAAGGGGAGCTTCACATCTTAATATCAACCCCCGCCCCATTACCATGCCTTTCACCATTGGGTCCTGGGTTAGGGCTCAGTCCAGGCAGGAGTGAGCCTAACTTGTGGCAGGCTGGGCGGCTTTGGAGAACAGGGAAAAGCCTTACTTGGAACATTGCAGCGCGACTTTGGTAGGCATTTCACCTCTGGCACTACTGAGTAAAGGGAAAGCCTCTTTTGGGGGAGAGTCCCTTGAAGAGAGGGCTGCCACACCACACCTAGGGGGAGCTGGCCAGATTGAGAGGGGCGTGGCTTAGTTCTAGAAGAGAAAAATCCACGAGGGGTGGGGCTTGGTTCCTATGGGCGGGGCTTATCCCAGGAATGAGTGAGGGCCTGATAGATAAGAAGGCTCAGTGAAAGGCCGAACTTGGACAAACACAACGGAGCCAATACTTCCAGGGTGTATGTAAGTGGTGGGGTTTTGGACACAGATTGGCGTGGCCTTGACTTTGAGAAAGTGGGCCCATCTCCAGACAGGAGGAGACTTAGTTACGGGCTTGGTTAGGGCCTGTGCTACTGCGAGAGCAGCCTAGTTCCGTAAAGGGCAGCGCTTGGCTCTGGAGTTCACAAGTCCTAGCTCAATGATGGGCGAGACCTGGATTCGTGAAAGTCTTGACCTCTCTCAGAAAGGGGCGGGACTTGCTCCTGGGAGGTGGGGCTTGCTCGAAAGTCCGCCAGCCCGCACCTTCAGGCCGTCGGCCGCCTCCAGGTAGAGATAGTAGAAAGGGAACATGCCCTTGTCTACGCCGCGCTTGTCGCGGCTGATGCGGCACTGCACCGTGAGGCCGGGCAGAGCCGGCCGCAGCACATACGCCTCGGTGTCCTGTCCCAGCCGAGGGCCCGGCGCGCGGAGGGGCGATTGGGGCGAGAGCCCCACATCGCTGCTGCCTGCGCCGACCTCGCCTCCCGGGGCCTCGGACACCGCCGCTTCGGCCGCCGCTGGGGACTTCCTCACGGGAGACTCCGACTTCTGTTTCTTCTCTTTCAGGTCTTCGCCCTAGCCCACGCGCCAAATTCAAGGTGAGGGACGGCTGAGACCCGCCCCCGCCCCAGCCTTCCCAACTCCTGATTGGCCACGCCCGCATGGGGCTACGCCCCTTCTCGGCCACGCTCTCTGCCCATTAGTCAAACATCTCGGCCACCTGCCGGTCGGCCACTACCTTCAGGGTCCACGCAGCCGGGCCCCCTCCTTATCTGTTCCTTGGTCACCACTAACAATTTCCCTCTGAAACCACGCCCACTCCATCTACCGATCGAAGAATCCCTTCCAAAGCACTGTCCATTCATCTAAAACCAGGGTCGGTAAGGTCTAGGTAACATATAATACGGCCCAGAGCTACCCAACTGAAACTATCTGATTTTCAACAATACCTGAGTGAGTGTCAACTAGCCCAAACACCGTTTCGCCCTCTCCAAAGCTCGCTGCCTTTCGGTGGGTTGGATTTTAATATATGTCCTTACATCGATTTAAATCCTCCAGATTGACTTCATAAATGGCACACACACAGAGACACCGCTAGCCTAATCATAACAGGTTCCACTCACCAGGAAAAAGGCCCTCTGATTGGGCTGCAGAATTTTAGACCAACCCTCTCTAGAGTCCGAGGCTAGTCCTCTTCCTATATCCTGATTGGCAGTGCCACCTCCCACCTTGTTGGAAGCCAAGTCTTCACGTCCTAGGTCATCACCATCCATTCCAGGGTCTGGTCCTGGACTGGGTGACTCATATTCATCTCCAACATCCTGGGATTCACTCTCTTCCTCCGCACTGGCCCCTAAGGAGTGGAAGAAGCCAGAGGAAGACTCACACAGGACACTGGGGTCCCAGGAGCTTGGGACAAGGTCACCAGTACTAGCAGGAAAAGGCCAGATATCCTAGGTTCCTGACCTCTGCTTATTACTCATCACACTTATTTGCCAGATTCTCCTCCTCCCCCATGTGCATGGGTGTCCATGCTGGCTGAATAGGTTCTGACTGCCTTGGGTATAAGGACAGGGTGGGGTTCGAACCCTCCTTTTCCCTTGTCTCAAAAAGTGAGTGCATCATATATCAGAGATTGGGAACTAAAATGGGAGCAAGGGATGAGGTTTGGGGTGATAATTAAGAGTCCTGTTATTGAATAGTTGGTCATGTCATGATAATAGGTTTGTCATACAATATTAGGACATAACAAGAAAAAAAAGAACGAAATACTGATGATGCTACAACATAGAATAACATTAAAAACATACTAAGCAAAAGAAGTCAATCACGAAAATCATATACTATATTATTCTATTTAAGTGAAATGTCCAGAATAGGCAAATCTAAAGAGACAATCCATTAGTGGTTGTCTAGGGCTGGGCGAAATGAGGTGTGTGTGGGGGTCACTGCTAAAAAGTACAGAGTTTCCTTTGGGATAATAATGTTCGAAAATTGTGGTGCTAGTTGCCCATCTCTGTAAATACACTAAAAACCACGGGATTGTAAACTTTGAATGAGTGAATTGCATGGAATGTGAAATATATTTCAATAAAGCTGTTATAAGGGACACCTTAGTGGCTCAATGATTGAGCGTCTGCCTTCGGCTCAGGGCATGATCCTGAGGTCCTGGGATCGAGTTCCTCATCAGGCTCCCTGCATGGAGCCTGCTTCTCCCTCTGCCTCTGTCTCTGCCTCTCTCTCTCTCTCTCTCTCATGAATAAATAAATAAAATCTTTTTTTTTTAAAGCTGTTATAAAAAAGCGGGGGGAGGATTTGCCACATGGACCAGGGGACCAGATTTCAGTCAATGTCCCTGAAATTACCAGGTTGTTGGTGGGCTGGCCAACCCCTGCGTCGAGTCTTTGGAGGCTCTTTATAAGGAGGTGGAAAAGTGGGAACATCCTCCACTGGGACTTCTTCCAACTCTGGAACGGAACTGTCTGGTAGCCAGAATAGGGAGAGGGACCAGAGACTGGGATTTCTGGGGTGGGGAATTGGGGAGGGGGTAGGGAAGGGGCGTGGAGATTCAGATTCCTGAGTTTTGGAGAAGGAGTTTCATGACCTTGACTCCTGAGTGTGAGAGATGACAGGGAACATGGGGGCCTGGACACCAGGATCCTTTGGAGAGCAAGGACTGAGTTTCCAGACTGCTGGATTCCGGTGGGAGTGTAGTTCTAGGGTATAGGGGGTCCAAGGACTCGAGATTACCTGCTTCTGTCGGTGACGCCAGTGGGCCACGCTCACCGCTGCCATCTCCACTGCAGCTCACGATGCCCAGGGCATTGTGGGCACCAGAGCTCAGATGTGCCTCTGGCACACTCTCCTGGAGCAAAGGATTCCCAAGGCCTGCCCCAAGGAGAAGGTGCATCGAGGCCCATTAACACAAGGAACAAACTCCAGTCCCCTGAAAAGATCCGCTTCCTCGCTGACTCCCAGACTCCGCGATCGACCGCCCAAACGCCTGAGACCCATTCAGAACGTAAACTCCATCCTAAGACTCAAACAGGCACACCGTGTGGCTAAATTGTTTCGAACTCCGTGCATACTCAATCCCACACCGGGCTCTCCGTCCCTCCAGGACCGGTCTCTAGTGGATTATCCATGCCCCGTCCCCCGGACTTTGTTAATTCCATCCCTCCCTCTCTCCTGAATTGAGTCCCTGCCCCTTCCAGGACCAGACCCCCCCGCCCACCCGCTACCCCAGGCTCCGCCCCAGAGCTCCAGGGAGCCCAATCACAGGCTTCTCTCGGGCCCCACCCTCTAATGGGACCAGGCTCCGCCCCCTCGCTCTCCCTGCCCCGCCCCCGGGCTCCCCCAGGAGTCTCTCCCACGCCCCTAAGGGCTCTGCTGGCCTCTGTTCGCGCCCTCCCCTCTGAACCCTTTGGGCCGCGTCCCAAACACCCGCAGACCCTTCCCTCTAGGCTCCTGCCCGACACTAGGAACTTTCCTCACTGCTGTCACCTGCGAGGCGCTCCTCCCGCCTCCACCATCGCCGGGGCCGCAGAGAAGCGTCGGGATTGGCTAGAACCATGAGGGGCTCTTGGCGCTTCCGTCGCTGCCTCTTTTCAAAGAGCAGCCGCTAAAAAAAAAAAAAAATAATAATAATAATAATAATAAAAATAAAAATAAAAAAAATAAAAAGCAGCCGCTGAGGGAGTGGGAAAGGGGGGTTTGGGAGCCAGGAACCGGACGGGAAGACGGGGATGAAGGAGGGCCTGGGGCAAGGGGACACATGCTCGGGAGGGAGTCCGGGAGTCCAGGCTCTCAGTCCTTAGACCCCTCCTTCCTCGGATCCAGGAGTCCTGGCATCCCGTCCTCTCTTACCCCCAGGACCTAGCAGTCCTGCCCTCCAGAACCCTTGTTCCTTAGAAACTTTAAACTCCCATCACCGTTTGCTTCTTTAGGGTCCCAGATTCCTATTATCTCATTTCCTAATTGCAAACTTGAGGCTTGGAGAGAGCCAACGAGGGTCAGGAGTCCCAGTGCCACTCCTGGGGTTGGTGCTCCTGGAAGCTTATGGAGGATGGAAGGGGGCGGTTGTGGCATAGTACCTGCTGTTCCAGCTTCTGCAGCCTCATGGCAGTGAACTCATCCCCCATTGCCCTGAGAGAGATGCAGGCCATGGTGACAGGAAGCAGGGCACCCCGGATGCCCAAGAGTCCCTCCTTCCCTTCCTTCTTCTTGCTCAACTTAGGGTTCTGAGGACTTGTGAGGTCACAGAAGGTGCAGAACCTGAGCCGGCCCCACCAGTTCTGAAGCTCTTTTTCCCAGCATTGGCCTGTCTAGAATCCAGGAGTCAGAGACCCCAGGCCCTCCTGTCTCAAGATTCAGGAGTCCAGGCCCCCAGCCCCTCCTCCTTCAGACCCACCAGTCTCCATTTGTAGACCCCTCCCTTCAGGACCAGGAAGTCCAGGCCCCCAGCCCCTTACCACTAGGCTAATGGCGCTGAACCTGAAAACATGGTCATGAAGACAGAGTTGAGTGTGGACATAATCCAACTTTAAGTTCCTCCTACACCCTCATTCCCTCCCCCCACCACCAATCTTGTCTCCCCACTCACTCTTTCCTCCATATAACATTCTCCTGGGACATTCTAGAGAAGCAAGAACAAGGAGGAGTCAGGACACAGACCCAGCATCCCAGTGGACTCTGCTCTCCAAAACTTGATCTTAAGCTTTAAATTTTCTCAGGAAGCCCAAATTCCAGTACCTACTTTTTTCAGGGACCCAGAAGCCTGGTTCCAGCTTTCATAGTTTTGGGGGGGGGTGCCCAGGAATCCAGTTCTCTCTCCCCCTTCTATACTCAGGCCTGGGAACTTAGGACTCTAGGCTCCAGACACTCGACCGCCATTGACCCTAGACCTCCAGCACCCACCTGCCTGGGATCCTGGAAACTCCTTTCCTACTGCTTGCAGAGGCTTTTCACATTCATGTCTCGGCACCTTGCCTCTCTGGCCAATTTCTAAACATACCTAACCCTCTCTTTAGCTGAGGACCTAATCTCTGGGTCTCTGAGAAGTAAGCAGGCAAAGAAAGAGGGCTCAGAGGGATTCCCTAGGACCTGCCCTAATCCCCTCCCTCCTGGCCCTCTACACTCCACTTCCAACAAAGCAATGACCCCTGGCCTCCACTGCAGCCAGGCAACCCTGCTACAGGGGTTCTGACTTGGAAGGGCATGCAGGTATTCCTTAAAGGGACCCAAGAGGGGCAGCTGGGTGGCTCCGTGGTTGAGCGTCTGCCTTTGGCTCAGGTTGTATCCCAGGGTCCAAGGATCAAGTCCCACATCAGGCTCCTCTCAGGGGGCCTGCTTCTCCCTCCGTGTGTGTCTCTGATTCTCTTTCTGTGTCTCTCATGAATAAATGAAACCTTTTTTTAAAAAAATTAAAGAACCCAAGAGAGGGATCCCTGGGTGGCGCAGCGGTTTGGCGCCTGCCTTTGGCCCAGGGCGCGATCCTGGAGATCCGGGATCGAATCCCACGTCGGGCTCCCGGTGCACAGAGCCTGCTTCTCCCTCTGCCTCTGTCTCTGCGCCTCTCTCTCTCTCTCGCTGTGACTATCATAAATAAATAAATTTAAAAAGTTAAAAAAAAAAAAAAAAGAACCCAAGAGAGCCAGCATCTCTGGGTGGCATATGTACACTACATATGTAAGGCTTATATATTAGAAATTTATAAGATGACATGTGCCGACTGCCACCGATCTGTAACTTGTAGTCACTTCTCGTGGCAAAATAAACGGGGAAAATCATCCAACTGCCAGGCGAAGGCAGGGGCCTCATTGCCCACGGAAGTTGCTTCATTTCCCCCTGCCTGCAGGGAATTGTAGTTCTCTTCCAATGCCTCCGCTTTCCCTTTCGCCCAAGAGGCAGGCAATGTGGCGTCAAGAGGTAGAGCTTCCGAGAAAGGAGGCGAGATTTTCCAGAACAGCCGAGCGACTTCGGCAAGGGGCGGGCCGCCGGACCGGGCCTGGAGCTAGCGCGGACCAATTAGGCTGCTCGAGGGCGGGTCCTCTGCGGGCAGGTGGGCGTGGCCTAGGGGGGAAATCACCGGAACACACCGGAGGTCCTAGCCCGGGAGACGCCCTCTGCGGGGAAGGAAAGGTGAGGTTCTGGGGTGAGGGGGCGTCCTAGATTGGGTCCCGGGGAGGAGCGAGCGGGGGGAGGGGACCAGAGGGCTGGAAAACTGGGTCTCGGGGAGGTTGGACCGGGCACCAGTACTTCTAGATCCTGGCTAAGGAGGAGGCTGGGGGCCTGGATCTTTGGTTCTGGGGGGAAAGGGGTTGAGATCCGGGATCCCTGAGTCTGAGCGAAGAGTCTGGGTGCAGGGAGCCAGGATTCCTGGGGTCTAAGGACCGAAGAGCTGGAGGTGTGGAATCATGTGTCCCGGGAAACGAGACGCTTTGAGTCTTGACTCTCAGAAGGAGGGGGGTGGGTAGGGGCGGCACCGGGGTCCGGGGGAGTAGGCGACCTGCGACAGACCTCATCCACCTCTCTGCCCCCATCCCCCACAGGTCACGCCGCCATGCCTTCCTCTGGGCCCCGCGCAGCCCTGCTCCTCCTGCCACCGCTACTGCTGCTGCGCGCTGTGCTGGCGGTGCCCCTGGAGCGGGGGGCGCCCAAGCAGGAGAGCCCTGCGACCGAGAGCCCTGTGAGTGGCCCTGCCCTGCTCTCCAGCCAGGTGTTTGCAAGTGGTACTACAATTCCCGCCGATTCCCGTCGTCCGTGGGTGGATACTTCCCCCACGGACGGCCTCGGAGTTGGCCTGCCAATCTTTGCAGTCCCCGGGGCTTTGACGTGTTGAAAAACTCGGGCCCCCGGGGGAATATGTGTGTGCATAGTTCTAAGTCCTTGGCTCTGAGATGTGGGGAATCAGGTCAGATTTTAAGTGACAAATCTGCTTTATCCCCTGATTCTGTATTCTGTTAAGCCCCTGCCCCCTCCTCAAGAAGGAATCCAAAAAGAAAAGAACTACATTTCCCAGTAGCACCTTGGGCAGGTGGTGGTAGTTAACCAGGTGCTCTCTCCCTTCATAGAGCTTGTGGCAGTTGTTAAAATTATGAAGGTAATTCCAACATGGGGTTAGCAAAGGTTCTGAAACCTTTGGTCTTAGGGAATTTGGAACTTTAAAGATCCTCAAGGCCAGTGCCCTGATCTGTGACCTGAATCCTACAGCTCCCCCATCAGTAATGGACACATTATATCTGGAAAGGATCATTCCTTGCTCCTGTGTGGCGGTCCAGACCTTGTGAATTAGGCCTCTGCTTGGTGAAATCTTTGCAGACACAGAAGGGCACCCCCTTTTTTTTTAAAAAAAAAAGATTTTATTAGAGAGAGAGAGAGAGAGAGACAGTGAGCATGGGGGGGGTGGTAGATAGAGGGAGAGGGAGAAGCAGACTTCATGAGCAGGGAGCCTGAGGTGGGGCTTGATCCCAGGACTCAGAGATCATGACCTGAGGCAAAGGCAAACGCTTAACCCAGGTGCCCAAAATTGAATTTCAGATAGGAGTGAATAATTTTTAATCCAAGGACACTCCAGCAGTATATTAAACTATAAGTTATTTGTTGTTTATCTGAAATTTAAATTGAACTAGGCATTCTAGCTGTCCTGACAAGGTCACCTAGCTAGTGATTGGCAGATTTGGGATTCTAGCCCATTGGCCCATTGGCTAAATAATCAAAGATGCCCACATGGCTGGCTGAGTCAGTAGGGCATGCGACTCTTGATCTCAAGGTTCTGAATTTGAGCCCCACATTGGGTGTAGAGATTTCTCAATAAATAAATAAACTTAAAACAATAAAAGATGTCAACACCTTAGTTTCCAGAACCTTATCAGGTGAAAGAGTATTTGCAGGTGTGATTGAAACAGAGCTCTTGAGATGCAAAAGTTATCCTGTATTATCCAGATGGGCCCAACACAATCACAGGTGTTCTCTACAGGGGAGGCAAGAGGATCAGAGGCAGAGGTGATGTACTGACGTGAGCAGAGGTCACAGTGATTCAGGGTCATGTGCCAAGGAACACAGGCAGCCTCTAGCAGCTGGAAAAGGCAAGGAAACAGATTATCTCGTAGAGCTTCCAGAATAAGCTCAGCCCTGCCCACCCATTTTGGACTTCTGGCCTCTATAACTCTAAGATAATACATATTATCTGTGTTGCTCTAAGCCACTTAGTCTGTGACACCATGTTACGGAAGCAATACGAAATTAGTACACCACAGTGGCATGGCTGAGTGATCAGCTACTGATTATCAAACACGTACTGTGTGCTCCTCTACATACGAAACGATAGCGTTAGTAGTTTGAGTGTCTCCTGTGTCCTTGTCCTTAGGATCGTACCAGGCCATTTATCTCCTGTACTTTTCACTATGGAGCTGAGAAGTAGGGAATTTATTGCCTATTTTATTCATTTTTTAAAAGACTTTATTTATTTATTTGCGAGAGAGAGAGAATATGAACCGGGGAGGGGGAGAAGGAGAAGCAGCTCCCCACTGAGCAGGGATCCCCGCATGGGGCCGGATCCCAGGCCTCTGGGATCATGAATGGAGCTGGAGGCAGATGCTTTACTGACTGAGCCACCCAGGTGCCCCTTATTGCCTATTTTATTTATTTATTTATTATTAATTAATTTATTTTTAAGATTTTATTTATTTATTCATGAGAGACATAGAGAGAGACACAGGCAGAGGGAGAAGCAGGCTTCAAGCAGGGAGCCCAATGTGGGACTCGATCCCGGGACTCCAGGATCACACCCTGGGCTGAAGGCAGGCGCTAAACCTCTGAGCCACCCAGGGATCCCCATTATTGCCTATTTTTAAATGGAAGAGGGAGACCCAGGAAGAAGAGCGTGCCACCCATCTACACATGGAAGGGCTGGGTCCAGGAGCCTAGGGATTTTTTCTGTCTGGTTCACTAGCTGTGTCCCCTATCACAGTACCTGGCACACCAGAGGAGCTTGGTGAAAGCCTAATGAATGATGAATGAGCGTATGCTTCGCCGCTTGCCATCAAATACTGGGGTGTCCACTCTGAGTACGCACTCTGTGCAGTGTCCGGCTGGGAGTGATTTTTCCCTCATCTCCACTAATGGCCTGGGAAGAGATGAGGGCTGTGGCCCAGAGCATCAGGCAGTTTGCCTGGGGTTACAGGGCAGATGGGGATTCGAACTGGGGTTACCCCATGGGGCAGACCTCTCTCTTGCTCCAAGCAGGGGGTCTCTGAGTCCTTCAGCTGGCACCCAAGGGAGCGGGGCCCAGGTCCTACACGCAGGGAGGAACTGGAGAGGGGTGGGGGCCGGGCCGCTATGTTCATTCCTGTCGCCTCAGGACACGGGTCTGTACTACCACCGGTACCTCCAGGAAGTCATCAACGTGCTGGAGACAGATGGGCATTTCCGAGAGAAGCTGCAGGCTGCCAATGCCGAGGACATCAAGGTGCGGCTGGGTGCAAGCCAGGTGGGAGGGCACGAGGGGTGCTCGCTCAGAGGACAGAGTCCAGGGAAGGAGCGGTTTCCCTAAATGGGCCATGGGGCTCTGGTGCTCACAAAACGGAGGAAGAGGAAGGGCTTCTTTTCAGTGCCATGCAGCTGGGAAGGGATTTGAGGAATGCAGAGTTAAGCATGGATGCAGATGGCACAGGCTCCCAATGTCAGCTCTACCCTTATGTGCTGTGTGACCACCGTGTGCTGTGCTTCAGTTTCCCCATCTGTAAAATGGGGGTAATAGCAGAACCTGCTTTGCAGGGTTCAAGTTAGGATCATCCAAGGTAAGACACGTAAAGGGCTGACACACGCTAGGTAGCATTTCTTGTGCCTGCCATGTGCATGTGGTTCAAATGAGTGCTTGGTGTAGTGTGCTCTGCTCAGGAAAAATTCAAAACATAGGAGGTGCTCTTATGTCTCGCATCACCTCCAGCTCATGTGAGGCCTCCAGGGGGATAAGACTGCCCTCGTTTTACAAAGGTGGACACAGAAACCTTGGTGGCAGTGTTTGTCCTCCCGATAGGCCCAGTCTCACTGCAGGGCTGGAGATGTGGGCCCGACCCCCATGAGGATATGGGGTTGACTGCACACCCTCACACAGACACAGATAACCCCCTTTGGGTTCAGGTGCATGTGGGAATGCCCCGCCTGGAGGAGCCTCCTTGAATCTCTAAACCTCTGTCCAGGAGAGGGCCTGATGGGAATGTGGCCCTGCTCCCCCCACACCTCCCAGCCTTCCTAGGGGTCTCATCTGTCCCCATCCACCTGGCCACCAGTGAAGGACTGGCAGCACCAGAGACCGTAGAGCCCAGCGCCTCCTGCTGTCCAGCTGGGAAAAGTGAGGTACAGACCCCTCACTCCCCTACAGCAGGTCCAAGGTCATACCACTGGGAAGTGACCTTGTAAACAGAGTGGCCATTCAGGCAGGCAGGTTGTGGCATGGGATGGTGCCCAGTTACAATCCCAGCTCCTCTTCATGTGCTCCAGGAGAAGCAGCTGTATCCTCTGTGCCTTGGTTTCTTTCTCAGGAACCCCAAGCCCTAATACATTTTCTCTGATGTGAGAGGTGGTTGCATGGGTGAGTGGAAATCCCTACTTCAGGTGCTCATTCCCTCAAATCCTAAGGCCGTGGTGAATGTCAGTCATCATTCTTGGTGGTGGTAATAATGGCAGCTCCAGTTTGGAGGCCCAGAGCAGGAAAAGGATGTAGGGAGACCTGATAGCTGGCATACTCACTGTTTGAGGGACCTCGGGCAAGTGGGTTCTCCTGCTGGGCCTCAGTGGATCCATCTGTAAAATGAGGTTGGGGACAGGATCAGAGGATTGGCCCAGGGAGTCTAGCCCAGGGCTTGACCCAGAGGAGATGTTTGACTGGTTGAGGTTGTTAGGACTATCACAGGTCACTGTGTCCTGTGGCCTCTCAGGGGCCACGGCCACTGCAGGCTGGGGAGACCCAATGTGAGTCTCAAGTGACTGAAAAAGTAGCCTGAGGAATGACAGCAGAGGGCACCGGGGAGCCCCAGGGAGGGCATAGTCCAATCTGACAAGTGAAAGGACTTCTAGGGCAAGGATGCCCTTTGCCCAAGTGAGGTTTGAAGCCTGAGTGGAAATGTCCGTGGTATAGAAGTTACAGTGGGGCGCGGGGTGTGTGTGGTGTGTGTGTGTGTGTGTGTGTGGTGTGTGTGAAGGAGTGGCATGCCAGACAGGAACTGTGTCTACAAATGAAGCATTCTGGTACCTTCAGCTGTCTGCCAGTCCTGATCACTGATGCACGGAGGGTGGGGAAATGGGGCTGGAGAGGTGGGCGTGTGGTCTTGAGTGCCAGGCCCAGGAATTCTGTCCTGGGGACATCAGGGAGCCATGGGGCCTATGAGCAGGAGAGGGATGAGGGCAACTCTGAGAAACACACAAAATCTTTTTTTTTTTTTTAAGATTTTATTTATTTATTCATGAGAGTCAGGGAGAGAGAGAGAGAGAGAGAGAGAGAGAGAGAGAGAGGCAGAGACACAGGCAGAGGGAGAAGCAGACTCCATGCAGGGAGCCCAACATGGGACTCGATACTGGGTCTCTAGGATAGTGCCCCGGGCTGAAGGTGGTGCTAAACCACCCAGGCTGCCTTTTTTTTTTTTTTTAAAGATTGTATTTATTTATTCATGAGAGACACACAGAGAGAGACAGAGACACAGGCAGAGGGAGAAGCAGGCTCCCTATGGGGAGCCAGATATAGGACTTGATCCCAGGACCCTGGGATCACGACCTAAGCCAAAGGCAGACATTCAACCACTGAGCCACCCAGAGACATAATTTATTTATTTTTTTTAATTATTTATTTATTTATGATAGTTACACACAGAGAGAGAGAAAGAGAGAGGCAGAGACATAGGCAGAGGGAGAAGCAGGCTCCATGCACTGGGAGCCCGATGTGGGATTCGATCCCGGGTCTCCAGGATCGCACCCTGGGCCAAAGGCAGGCGCCAAACCGCTGCGCCACCCAGGGATCCCGTCAGAGACATAATTTAAAGTGACAGGAGGGGCAGCTCAGGGAAAGCACCTGGCAGAAGGGAGGGGGGCCAGGGAGTTGCTGGGAGGTTCTTTCCAAGGGAGATGCCATGTGCTTTGGGTTTTGAAGGACAGTAAGGATCTGCTTAGGCTTGCAAAGTGATGGTGAGAGAGAATCCTACGCAGAGGAACCAACCAATCCTAGGCAAAGGAAAGAGCCTTGAGCATAGGGGCTGATGCCCTGTGAGCGTTGCTAGAACTGAGTGTGATTTGATGGATGATGGAAAATGGGGCTCAAATGGCAGGCTGAAAGGCTGGACCTTGTCTCAGAGGCTGGGGGAGGGGGTAGGGCAAGGGTCAAGCCTTCCAGGCATCAGACAGCTGGTAGAAGGTTCCAGAGAAGGTAGAAAAAGGATGAGGCTGCCCAGTGTGCCCCCTTCCGGGCTCCCAGCCTGATCAGTCCTCTCTCTCCACTTGGGCAGAGTGGAAAGCTGAGCCGGGAGCTGGACTTTGTCAGCCACCATGTCCGCACCAAGCTGGATGAGCTCAAGCGACAGGAGGTGTCTCGGCTGCGGATGCTGCTCAAGGCCAAGATGGATGCGGAGCAGGAGCCTAGTAAGCAGGGGCAAGTGGAGTGGGTGGGGTGGGTGAGGTGGGATGGCCTCCTTCCAGGGGACTCACTAACTCCCCCCATAAGATGTGCACAGAACATTGATCGAGTTTTCTTTCTAGAACAATCTACTGCTAACATAACTGGTTGGTAGGTTGTTTTTTATTTCTTGGTTTCAGTTTTTTTATTTTAATTTTTTTATTTAATTTTAATTTTTTTAAAAGATTTTATTTATTTATTCATGAGAGACACAGAGAGAGAGAGACACACACACAAGAGACACACACACAGGCAAAGGGAGAAGCAGGCTCCCTGTGGGGAGCCCTATGCGGGACTCGATCCCACGACCCCAGGATCACGCCCTGAGCCAAAGGTAGATGCTCATTGACTGAGCCACCCAGGTGCCCTGAGAGGCAGGTTTAGATTCCAAGATCCCACCCTTTTTCTGACATTCCTAGTTAGGGTTGTTGGAGCATGTGTCTGGACCATACTCTTTTTTTAAAATAGCTTTATTGGGGGATCCCTGGGTGGCGCAGTGGTTTGGCGCCGGTCTTTGGCCCAGGGCGCGATCCTGGAGACCCGGGATCGAATCCCACATCGGGCTCCCGGTGCATGGAGCCTGCTTCTCCCTCTGCCTGGGTCTCTGCCTCTCTCTCTCTCTCTGTGTGTGGCTATCATAAATAAATAAAAATTAAAAAAAAAATAAAATAAAATAGCTTTATTGGAATATAATTCATATTCCATTAACGGGTACAATTAAACAGTTTTTAGTATATGCACAGGTGTGTACAACCATGACCAAAGTTGATTTTGGAGCATTTTAATCATCCCAAAAACAAATCTTGAACTCTTCTGCCCTCTTCCCCCAATCCCCCCACCCAGCCCCTGTAATCAGTAACCTACTTTCTGTCTCTCTGGATTTGCCTATTCCTGGATATTTCATATAAATGGAATCCTACCACCTTTCGTGTCTGACTTTCACTTCACGTAATATTTTCAAGGTTCATCCGAAATGTAGCATGTGTCAGCACTTTCTTCCTCTTTAGGGCCAAGTAATATTCCATTGTATGAACAGACCATGTTGGCTTTATCCATTCATCAGTTGATGGGTATCTGGGTTGTTTGCACCCTTTGGCTACTGTGGACCGTGGTGTTATACTTACTATAGCTCTGTGGTATGTTCTGGTACCGTGTGTGACACAATGTAAGAACATGCCCCCTCTCTTGAGATTGATCTAGGCCTGTCCTTTCATCTCCTGACACCTTGTGTTATGGATGGGGACACTGAGTGTTGGTGGATGGCTTTGAGTGTTAGTAGGAGAGCTGGACTTTGTTTTCATTTCTTTTTTTTTTTTAAGATTATTTATTTGAGAGAGAAAGAGAAAGAGAGAGAGAACATGAATGGGGTGGGAAGGGCAGAGAGAGAAGGAGAAGCAAACTCCCCTCTGAGCATGGAGTCCAATGTGGGGCTCGATCCCAGGACCCCAAGATCATTACCTGAGCCAAAGTCAGATGTTTAACCGACTGAGCCACCCAGGCACCCCGGTTTTCATGTCTACCTGACTCCACCCATCCGTTCGCCAAACATGTCATGAGTCCTGCTGTGTGCTGGGCATCAGGCAGGTGCTGGAGCTCTAAGGTGACCAAGCCAGCCTGAGTACGGACCCACACCTTCTCTGTCCTGCTGTTTTAATTACTAGCTTCAGAGTCTGATTTGATCTCTAATAAATTCAACATCCTTTGTCACTAATGAGAAAAATACTTCCTATGAATTTGCTTCCGATTGTGTCCATCACGATAAAAGCTGTGTGCTTCAGTATTTGTTCCTTCACCAGGTGCTCAAGATCCCAGCTGCCTGTGTCTCTTACCCCTCACGAGACCGGTAGCCACTGGAGGCCGGCCTGGTCCCGACTCACATCTGGAGGCCTTGGGGGATGTGTGTCTGGTCAATGCCTGACTGTTGAGTGCATGTTCTCGCCCTTCCGTCTTGGCAACCCCACCCCTTCTTTACTGCTTGGAAACTTCCAGATGCCATAGGTGCTGCGTGAGCAGGGTCCTGTTCCAAGAGGGTCTCATACAGGAAGGTTGCATGACTTTGCTAGGGCTGCTGTAACCAAGTACTGTAGACGGGGGCGGGTGGCTTTAGCAACAGAGATCTATTGCCTCACAGCCCTGGAGGCCAGAAGTCCAAGATCAAGTTATGGCAAGATTGGTACCTTCTAACAGTGGTCTCTTCTGAGTCTCTCCCTTTGCCTCGTAGATGGCCGACTTCCACCAATTGTCTTTCCTGTGTGTCCAAATTTTCCCTTTTTTTTTTTTAAGATTGTATTTATTTATTCATGAGACACACACACACACACACACACACACACACACACACACACAAAGAGAGCAGAGACACAGGCAGAGGGAGAAGCAGGTTCTCTGCAGGGACTCAATCCCAGAACCCTGGAATCACCACCTGAGCCAAAGGCAGATGCTCAACCACTGAGCCAATTGGCATCCCCAAATATTCCATTTTATAAGGGATTTGGGTCCTATTGGATTTGGGTCCACCCTGTGATCACTTTTGGGAAGATCCCCTCTGTCAGTGAAGTCACATTCTGGAGTCCTAGGGGTTAGGATTCCAACAAATGGGTTTCAGGGTGTGTAATTAAACTGGTAACAAGGGGGGCAGCCCTGGTGGCTCAGCGGTTTAGCGCCGTCTTCAGCCCAGGGTGTGATCCTGGAGACCCGGGATCGAGTCCCATGTCAGGCTCCCGACATGGAGCCTGTTTCTCCCTCTGCTTGTGTCTCTGCCTCTCTCTCTCTCTCTCTCTCTCTCTCTCTCTCTGATGAATAAATAGATGAAATCTTAAAAAAACAAAACAAACAACAACAACAAAAAACCAAAAAACTGGTAACAGGGCTTGAGTTTATGTGCCCTGGAGCCCAGCAACTGCTTCTAATACTGCCTCTGCCACTTCCTAGATTAGTGGTGACCAAGACACTTCTCTGGGCCTCAGTTTTCACATACATAAAATAGAGATAATCATAGAATCTCTGTCATAAGATTTTTGTGAAAAGTAAATGCATTACTGTATTGAATGTGTTTCAAGCAGAGCCTGGCATATAGTGGGTGCTCAATACACATTAATCATTATTATGGTTATTGTTATTTTAAGCAGCGGAATCAGTTGTGGCATCACCTCCCAGAAGCCCTCTCTGATTGCCTCTGGCTCGTTCAGGCCATCTTCTGGGCTTTCCCAGTGCACTCTATGACTCCTTTAGAGCACATCTAGCCCACAATAGGGATTTTGAAAGAAAGAACATTCCGTGAGTTTTTGTTTTGTTTTGTTTTAAATACTTCTCCCTCATCCAGATGTACAGTTGGATCACCTGAGCCTCCTGAAGCAGTTTGAACACCTGGACCCTCAGAATCAGCACACCTTTGAGGCCCGGGACCTGGAGCTGCTGATCCAGACGGTAGTGTGAGGGGGGGCCTACAGGCAGAGGATAAAAAGAGGCTTTGTGGAAGGGGAGAAGGGAATGGAGCCTGGGACATGAGTCCACTCAGCCCTGCCTGGTGTTCTCTGAGGCCGGTGGCTGCAGAGGCCCAGGTGGTGCCCAAAAGCCCTCCCCATATTCTCTCTGTGGACTTGGAGGTATAGGCAGGATGGGGCCGAGCTCCATTCAGACCTGGTATCTTTTTTCTTTTTTTTTTTAAGATTTATTTATTTATTCATGAGAGACACACATTGAGAGAGAGAGAGAGAGACAGAGACACAGGCAGAAGGAGAAGCAGGCTCCATGCATGGAGCCCGATGCGGGACTCGAGCCCGGATTCCAGGATCACGCACTGAACCGATGACAGACACTCAACCACTGAGCCACCAGGCGTCCCCAGACCTGGTTTCAGATCCCTTCTCAGGGATCTTGGCTTTGCCCTTCCCATATGATTTGGGGGAAGGGGGAGGCTGTCCCCTCTGTGTCCTCGTGAGAGGCAGAATAATGCCCCCCGACCAAAGATGTCACACCCTACACATCCTAATCTGTGGTACCTGTGGTACCTGACCTCACCTGGCAAAAGAGATTTTGCAGATATGATTAAGCTGAGAGTCTTGAGCTTGTGGGTTACCCAGGTGGGCCCTAATGTCATCTCAGAGGGAGATTTGACCGCAGTAGGAGGTGGCATTGTGACCACCGAGGCAAGATGCTCCACTGCTGGCTTTGCAGGTGGAGGAAGAAGCTGCAAGGATGGAAGGCAGCTCTAGAAACTAGAAGAGGCAAAAAAAGGGATTGTCCCCTAGTCTCCAGAGGGAGCACAGTTTGGCCACCACTGCAATGTGAGCGAGGTGAAACTAATTTCACATCTCTAGCCTCTGTACTATAAGATAATAAATGCATATTATTTTGTTTTATTTTTTCTTTCTTTCTTCCTTTCTTACTAGGCTCCACACCCAGTGTGGGGCTTGAACTCACAACCTTGAGATCAAGAGTTGCATGCCTGGCAGACTAAGCCAGCCAGGTGCCCCCGAGTGTGTGTTATTTTAAGCCACCAAATGTATGATTTGTTATCGAGGCTGTAGGAACTAATAGAGTCCTTACCTGAGATATGGGATCTCCAGCCCAGCCTCAAGGGGAAGGACAAGGGCGCCGGGGGTGGGGAGTTAAAGGGGATGCCCAGACCTGCCTCTGCTTCTCCCCTGCTCACTTTCCTTCCAGGGGTCCCCTGCACCTCCAGGACAAAGCCAGAGCCGGCCACCACTAGGACTGAGCTCTCTTTTCTGGCCTACTGGAGCTCTATCTAGTGGCCAAAAAGATAATAGCAGCCATTCGAGGCTCTTCCTGGCATTGGGCTCAGTCTGCGAGCCTCAGATCGGTTTTTGTTTGTTTGTTTGTTTGTTTGTTTTTGTTGTTGTTTTTTTACTACTCGTTTCCAGAACATTACAGAACATTCTACTTTTTTCCAGCCCCACTGTCATTCTCCTAGTTTCAACTCCCATCATCTCTCATAACCGCTTCCTTACTGGGTTCCCTGCTTCTGCCTTCCAAGCTTATCAGCAGGACTTCTCAACTCATCATTCTTGATGTTTGGGGCCAGATAATTCTTTGTTGTGGGGGTATCTGTGCATTGTATGATGTTTAGCCACATCCCTGCTCTCTAACCAATTGATACCTGTAGAGCCAGCCTCGCTGTGACGACCAAAAATGTCCTCAGACATTGACAATGGTCTCCTGTGGACCAGTCACCTCAGGTTGAGAACCTGTTCCTAATACGACAGCTACGTTAGTTTCCTATGCTTTCCTGTAACAAATTACCACGAATTTAGTGGCTTAAAACAACTTGAAATTATTGTACAGTGTAGATCAGAAGCCAAGAAGGATCTTCCTGGGTGTGTTAATTTGCTATGGCTGCTGTTACAAGTTACCATTGGCTCAGTGGCTTAGCACAGCAGAAATGTGGGGTGCCTGGCTGTAGAATATGTGACCTGATCTCAGGGTTGTGAGTTTGAGCCCCATGTTGGGTTATAGAGATTACTTTTAAATAAATAAATAAATAAATAAATAAATAAATAAATAAATAAATAAATAAATAAGACAGAAACGTATTCTCTCACAGTTTTGAAGGCCTGAAGTCCAAAATCAGTATCACGGAGCCAAAACCAAGTTTTTGGCAAAGCTGTACTCTCTTTAGAAGCTATAGGGAAGGGGACGCTCAGGTGGCTCAGGGCATGATCCTAGGGTCCTGGGATCAAGTCCTGCATTGGGCTCCCCACAGGGAGCCTGCTTCTCCCTCTGCCTATGTCTCTGCATCTCTCTCTGTGTCTCTCATGAATAAATAAATAAAATCTTAAAAAAAAAGAAGAAGAAGAAGAAGCTATAGGAAAGAACCCACTTCTTACTTCTTCCAGCTTCTAGAGGCTGCCAGCATTCTGCATTGTGTAGGCCCATTGCTCCAGCCTCTGCCTCCATGGTGTTCTTGCTGTGTCTCTCTGTATCTTCTCTATAGCCTCCTTACAAAGACACCACTCACTTGGGTTTTGGGCCTACTCTAATCTGGTAGGACCTCATGGTAACTAGGTAAATCTACAAAGATCCTATTTCCAAATAAGTTCACATTCCAGCATTCTGAGTGGACATGAATTGAGGGTGGGGGGGATACTATTCAACTGAGTGCCGTATTGCTATCTCCAGCTTACAGAGGAAGAAACTGAGGCACAGAGAGGCTGAGTAACTTGCCCAAGATCACACAGCCTGGTGGGATTTGTTCACACAGCAGAGTCTGGATTTGAACCCTGGGCAGAGTAATTAGAGACCTAGCATTCTTTATCACCTCGCTGGACTGCTTTCCCTATTAAGTCCATCTCTTAAGTGTGTTTCTTACTGTTTATTTCTCCAAAATATTTATTTTATTTTATGTATTTTAGGTAATCTCTATACTCAGTGTGGGGCTCAAACTCACAACCCCAAGATCAAGAATCGCATGCTCCACCAACTGAGCCAGCCAGGTGCCCCTATTCCCCCAAGATCCTGAGATTGCAGAGGACTTGAAAGAGATGGGTTGATGTTGTTACCATGTAGGGGTGCTTGGCTGGCTCAGTCACAAGACCATGGGGCCCTTGATATCAGAGGGTTGGGAGTTCGAGCCCCATGTTCGGTATAGAGATTACTTAAATAAATAAACTTAAAAAGAAAAGTTGTTATTGTGTAACCATTCTAATCTCTTCTGAACAAATAGAGAGAGGCAGCTGTGTTATGGGGCAAGAGTAGGTCATAGAGATCAAGAAGTGAGCTCAGGACATGGAACCCAGGACTGGGTGGAGGTTGGGGCGGCCCCTGACCAGGTTCAAGGCTGAGGGCCTGGAATTTGGAGGTTGAAATTAGGGCCTGGGCATGGCAGTGGGATGAGAATGACAGTCTATCTTTTCCCAGGCCACCCGGGACCTGGCGCAGTATGACGCGGCCCATCACGAAGAGTTCAAACGCTACGAGATGCTCAAGGAACACGAGAGACGCCGTTATCTGGAGTCACTGGGTGAGGAACAGCGCAAGGAGGCAGAGAGGAAGCTAGAAGAACAACAGCGCCGGCACCGAGAGCACCCCAAAGTCAATGTACCTGTAAGAACCCCTATATGTGCCTACCCCCCATGAAGTCCAACTCTCCAAGCACTGCAAGAGGAGAAAATAGTTAAACAATTAAAATTCCCAGCAGACCCTGAGGTCAAAAGTCCCTTTAAATATGCCCAGCCACCCCTGTGGCTTCTGGGACTTGCAAGGTTTTTTAATTTTTAATTATTTATTTATTTTAGTTTTCTTGCTTGAGGGAAATGACATTTGAGGGATGGGGGGACTTAGACTTCTTGCTCATGAGCCCCTGGCTCTCGCCTCCACAGGGCAGCCAAGCCCAGTTGAAGGAGGTGTGGGAGGAGCTGGATGGATTGGACCCCAACAGGTTTAACCCTAAGACCTTCTTCATACTGCATGGTAAGGTGGGGAGGAGCCCCAAGACCTGGGCTGAACCCTGAGGTTCTGTCCTTTCCAGGACCTGAGTACTAAAAAGAGATCTCCCCATCTCAGTGGTGCTTAGGCAGGCCAAAGAGATCTGATCCCATCCCTCCTGTTGGTCTAGAAGGCTGCACCCCTCCCCATTGCTAGGATCTTCTGTAGAAGAGCTAGGCCTCTATTCTGGAATACACGAGACTTCTCAGTTCTCAGGATTGATATCCGCGGACTGAGCCATCCGGGCTTGGCCAGGCTGGAGCCCTCTCCCACAGTAGCCCAGAATCCCTGGTCCCTGCCAGAAGCCCTATTGCCAAAAGTGAGCTGCTCCCTAATAAGCCAGCCTCCAGGGACTTAGAAGCACCTTTTCTGGTGGTTCAGAGGCACATCTCCCTTCATTCTCCTCCTCTCTAGCAACATAACCCAGGGTTGCCAGCCACCCCCCACCCTCAGCTAGGCCTAGGACACTGACCCAGAAGCTGCAAGCACGACAGAGCTAACCAGGCCCTGCTTCATTCATTCAGCAAACATTTACTAAGTTCCCTCTAAAGACCAAGCTTCACAGAAACCCTGTGGATCTACTGTGAACAAAACAAAGATCCCCCCCTCTCACATAGCCAGTGATCATGCAAACAGAGAACTCTGTATTTCAGTGAGTCTAAAAAACTGGATAGTGTAAGCTATTCTAGAATTTTTCCATAAGGTGCCCATTAAACTAACATACCACCGATGACAAGATGCCCCCTGGTCTTAGGGATAATAAAATGGGGGCGGGGGGTTGTATTTCACAGTCAATGAAGTGGGTTCGATAATAGCATCTCGGGCGTGATAAGTGATAAGTACCATGGAAAAGAGGATAGAGGGGCTTAAGGGCCTAGAATGTATCATACACACCAGCCCCATGTGGCTACTGAGCTCTTGAAATATAACGAGGAATTGAATTCTTTTTTTAGTTTTGAGACCTGAATTTTTTTTAATATGTAATTATGGTAAAATACTTAACATAAAATGTCTCACCTTCAGCCATATTTAAGTGTATAAGTCAGTAATGTTAAGGACACTCATATTGTTGGGCAACCCATCTCCAGAATTCTTTTCATCCTTTTTTTTTTAATATAAAGATTTTATTTATATATTAGAGAGACAAAGAGCATGAGGAAGGGGAGGGGGAGAGGGAGAAGGAGAGGCAGACCCCCGCTGAGCAGAGAGCCTGACATGGGGCTGGATCCCGAGACCCTGAGATCATGACCTGAACCAAAGGCAGACTCTTAACTGACTGAGCCACTTAGGTGACCCTTTTTTCATCCTCTCAAAATGAAAACTCTGTTAATCACCAGCTCCCTGTTACTCCTCCCCTACCAGCCCCCAGCCACCTCTCTTCTTGGTGCCGTCTCTGTGAATTGGATTATTCTAGCTACTTCATATAAATGGAATCAGACAGCATTTGTCTTGCTTGGGACCAGCTTATTTCATTTAGCATCATGTCAAGGACCCCAAGTTTTCATTGTATTTGGCTGTTACTAATTTAAATTTCATGTGACCCCTGTGGCTAGTGGCTCTACCGGACAGTGCAGTTCTTTTTTTTTTTTAAGGTTCTATTTATTTATTCATGAGAGGCACTGAGAGAGAGAGGCAGAGACACAGGCAGAAGGAGAAGCAGGCTCCATGCAGGAAGCCTGAGGCGGAACTTGATCCCATGACCCCAGGATCACAATCTCAGCCAAAGGCTGATGCTCAAGCACTGAGCCACCCAGACGTCCCTGGACAGTACAGTTCTAGAGAGATGACGTTTAAACCTAGACTTTAATGAGGTGAGAGTCTGAGCCTTGCAGATATTTGAGAGTAGCACGTTCTAGGCAGAAGGAACAACAAATACCCACAGGGGAAGAGTGAACCTGGGTTTTCAAGGTAACAGCAGCCAGATTGCTCAGAGCCTTCCAGCTGGGTTAAGGAATTTGGATTTTATTCTCTCTGGGATGTGATACCAGCTGCCTTAAGAGCCGATATAACCCAGCTGTCTGCTGTGTAGAGGATAGGCTGTATGTGTGAGGGCCAAAGCCAGGAGAAGGCCAGAGAAGCTAGTGACTGCACCATGGGAAGGAGGGAGAAGTGGTTGGATTCTGGATTTATCTTGAAGGTCAAGGTGATAGGACTCATGGATGGACTGGATGAGAATTATAAGCGAACAGAAGCGTCAAGTGTGACTCCAAGGTATTTCACTTGAGCAACCAGAAGGATGAAGAGGGAAGAGCAAGCCTATGGGAAGATTGGGAACTAGGTCCATTCGTGTTAAATTGGAGGTGTCTGTTGGACACTTACATGGAGAGGAGAGTTGGCAATTAGATATCAGTGTTGATGGCACTGGAAGCTGAGGGCCTGGAGGAACCCATACAAAGAAGTGCTGGCCAATCACACTCTTTTTGTAATGATGAAAATGTTCTGTGCCACCAATATGGCAGCCACTGGCTACTTGTGGCCACTGAATGCTTGACCTGTAACAAGTGGGACTGATAAACTGAAATTTTTATCTTGATCGTTTTAAATTGTTTTTATTTTTTTAAGATTTTATTTATTCATGAAAGACTCTCTCTCTCTCTCTCTCTCTCTCTCACACACACACACACACACACACACACACACACGGGGGGGGGTGCAGAGATACAGGCAGAGGGAGAAACAGGAAACAGGCTCCATGCATCTGGGTCTCCAGGATCACACCCTGGGCTAAAGACGGTGCTAAACTGCTGAGCCACACGGGCTGCCCAATCGATTTAAATTTAAATGGCCTATCAGGGCACCTGGGTGGCTCAGTGATTGAGGTCTGCCTATGGCTCTCAGGTCATGATCCTGGGGTCCTGGGATGGAGTCCCACATCAGGCTCCCTGCAGGAAGCCTGCTTCCCCCATTACCGGTATCTCTGCCTCTCTTTTTGTGTCTTATGAATAAACAAATAAAAATCTTTAAAAATAAATAAAATAAATAGCCTGTGTGTCTAGTGGCTATCATGTTGGATTCAAAGATTAGGTGGACAAGAGGTCCCAGGCCTGAGCCTTGGGGTACAGCAATATGTAGCATTCAGGAGGAAGACAGAGCCAACAAAGGAGAATGAGGAGCACCTGAGAGGAGAGAATGATGTTCTGGAAGCCAAAGGCAGAAAGTCCAATAAAATGCAAGTTAAAAATTAACCATTGGCAGGGTGCCTAGCTGGCTCAGTCAGTGGAGCATGTGACTCTTGATTGCAGGGTTGTAAGTTTGAAGCCCACTCTCAGTGTGGAGATTGCTTAAAAATAAAATCTTAAAAAAAAAAATTAACCATTGGATTTGCAAGGTCAAGGTTACTGGCCATCTCTGAAGGACCAGTGTAGAAGCTGACCTGAGGCAGCAGGGGAAGGAGGACAGTTAGCATAGCTCACTTGGCTGAGAAGCCTGGAGCACTGGAGCTGTATAAGCTGGGTGGCAGGAAGAGCTTCCTCTGGCTTGTTTCTCTAGGAAGAAGAGGCCTCTGACACCCCTGCATCCAGGGCCGAGGGGTTGATCCTGCACCCAGATTGCCAGGTGTTAGAGATCAAGTTGTCCTGCATGACAACCACCCCTAAGAACAGTCCTGGTGAAGTCCACCTTCATTTATTCCATTCTTGGGACCCTGGTTGGTAGGGACCTGGGCTGTCCCAGCAATGAGCCAATGGGGCACTGAACTCTGAAGGATGTCATTCTATTGTTGGAGACCTAAAGATACCTGTGCTGTAATAACAGAGCCCACATCAGCACCCAGTTCCTTCTCTGCTAGGTCCCTCAGAGACCTGACCCATCCTATACTCAGTCCCACAAGATACGTTGTTGTCTTCCCCTCAGATATCAACAGTGATGGTGTCCTGGATGAACAGGAGCTAGAGGCCCTCTTCACCAAGGAGGTGAGCATTTTGGAAGCCACGGGTGCAGAGGCTGCCCACATCAGCTGTGTGTCCCCTCACAGAGTTCCCTGGGTGTGAACTCAGGGGAAACTACAACTCCCAGCAGCCTCTGGGGCAAACGCAGGCTTCTAGGAGAGGCCAGGTGCCCCCAAGGACTTCTGGGAGTTGCCTGATTGTGTGGATGAGTAGCCTAGGTGAGAGGTTGCTCTGGACCCCTCAATATGTCCTGCCTCTCGCTTGACCCTGGTGCAGCTGGAGAAAGTGTATGACCCAAAGAATGAAGAAGATGACATGCGGGAGATGGAGGAGGAGCGGCTTCGTATGAGGGAGCACGTGATGAAGAATGTGAGATGGGAGTAGAGGGGCTAGTGGTCATGGGGAGGGTGGGGGCAGGGACAAAGTGAGGATCAATTCTGTCACTTACCCTGGCTCTCCAGGTGGACACCAACCAGGACCGTCTTGTAACCCTGGAGGAGTTCCTCGCATCCACCCAGAGGAAGGAGTTTGGGGACACCGGGGAGGGCTGGGAGGTGAGGCCATGGAGGATTCTCTGAGTCCTGAAACCTCTCTCCCCTGGCTCTAACCCTTCTTTCTGGGTTTCTGGCCTCTTTGAACTCTCTGGGTCTCTGCCTCCTTTTATCTCTGGGTTCTGTCTCTGTCCCCCTCTACATCTCTGTTCTCCCCTTTCTCTGGGTCTTTATCACCCTCCTCAGCTTCCCCTCAGATCCCACTGGCACATGTATCCTGGGCCTCCCAGCCTCCCCCAAACCTCTGTTATCTGAAACCCCTCCAACCCAGTGGGGGTGGGCCAAGGCTGACCTGACCCTGCTGATGGCCCTTTCCCCCACCTCCTTGCAGACAGTGGAGATGCACCCTGCCTACACGGAGGAGGAACTAAGGCGTTTTGAGGAGGAGCTGGCTGCCCGGGAGGCAGAGCTGAATGCCAAGGCGCAGCGCCTCAGCCAGGAGACGGAGGCCCTAGGGCGCTCTCAGGGCCGCCTGGAGGCCCAGAAGAGAGAGTTGCAGCAGGTGACTGGCCAGGGAGGCTGGGCCCATCCTCTGTGCGCTGGTGGCCTTTGTCCTTGTGTTTCCAGAGGCTGGGAAGGCCTGCAGCCACTTTGTTCATCACTAGTAGATGTTCAGGCAGTGGCTGCCATCTTGAGTAAGGGCAGATGTCTCCATCCCTGACAGCTCTGGGTGCCATGTTGGATAAGGGCAGTGCAGCTCTAAGCAGGAGAGTGGTGGTGGAGGTGGGTGAGAGGCCAAGCAGGGAGGAGGAGGTTAGACTCAGCAAGGGTTCAGTGAAGTCTTCTCTGTCCCAAAGTCTGACCCAAGCCATGAAGCCAACTCTTGGTGAGAAAGGAGAAAAAAAAAAAAAAAAAGCTGGGTTCAGGACCACTTAGCAAGTTGCCATGGAGACCTGGCCTTATCCCCTCTTGCCTGCGCAATCTCCCCTGCCTATTGCAGGCCGTTCTGCAAATGGAACAAAGAAAACAGCAACAACAAAACCAGAACAGCCCAGCCCCTGGTCCAGAGGGACAGCTCCAGTTCCACCCAGACACAGGTGCTGGGGGGGGGGGGCTGGGCACCCCGGGGGGAGGGAGCTGGTGGCCCATTCTTGGGTCTGAGGGAGGAAGGAGCTGGAGTGCCTAGTGCTACCATTGCCTCCCTCTATTTCCAGATGACGCCCCTGTTCCAGCCCCAGCTGGTGACCAGAAGGATGCAGACACTTCAGAAAAGAAGGCTCCTGAGCTGCCCCAGTTGGATACCCAACACCTGTGATACTCCTGGGATGCCCCCCCCCACACTCTGGGTTCCTACCGAGGCAGCTGATGATGGGAGGGGGATGAGGATCAACGTGAACCTCCCCTGGGGACCCTCCCCTGGGGACCGGCAATTCGTGTGGCCACCTGGGGGAGGGGAGGGCCAGGTGGCACTTGACTCATTGCTGCCCGAGCCCCGCACCTGACACCTCAGCTTCCACAGCCTCCCAGTCTGGTCCCTTCCTTCCGATCCCCTCCAGGGGACTACCTTCTCAAGTCTAGTTGGGCCCTCACCGGGTCATCTGAACTTAGGGAAGTCCTCTCCCTCCCGAGAAGGGTCTGCCTCCTGCCTGCCTTCCTACCTGGTTTGGCCTCAGCTGCCCAGGTGGTGGCCACTCTGGCATCCCGCATCCCCACAGCTGCTGGAATCCTGCCTGCTGCCCAGCGTTGGTGGACTTATGAGGCCTGTGTGGTCCCTCGAGAGCTTTCCTTGCCTTTTGCGGGACCACCGATACCTCAAGGACGATGTCTTCCCCGTGGCAGGGTGTGAGGGGCTGCAGAATCGTCAGCATAGCCGCTTAGCGCTGATACTTGGAACCCAGATTCTCCATGACCCCTGGCTTCCAGCTGCCTCAGCCTCTGCCCCGATGCCTGGCTCCTTGCCCCTTCCCCACACATCCCCAGAAGGGTCCTGGAGCCAACCCTGCCCCAGGATCAGGTTCCAGCCTCTCAGCCTCGGAAGGGGGGGGAGCACCCCCCATTTCTGGCCTTTTCTCATGTGGCTCCAAGTTCTGCTCTGTACTCCAGTTCCACCCAAATACACTTTCTGGAACAATCCATGCCTGTGTGTCTTTGTATATACTGTTTGCTCTGAAACTTCATGTCTCATTGCCCTATTAAAGTCCTCCTCATTCTGTAAAATTCAATTCAAGCATAATATCTAAGAGGCTTCATCCTAGCATCTTACTGTTCTCTCCTGAGGAGTCCACTGTGTGTGCGTGCACACACACACGCACACGCACACACACACCCTTCAGCAGGATCCTAGCCACAAGGATAGAAAGGCTTAGTAAAGAAAAAGAAGTATCTCCCGACACAAGACATCCCAACACAAGGTGACTCCAGGGAACCACTTTCTCCCCTGGCCTTAGTCCTGCTGTGGTAGATGGAAGGCTGCAATTGCCTTATGGCCTCAGAGTGGCTGCAGCTGCTCCAGGAGTCACGCCCTTGTACCAACAACTGAGGAAGGACATTGGCAGAGGTGACAAGAGCTGCCTCCTACCCCTCCCTGCCACAGCCTGTTTATCAACACACCACGGAGCATGGGGCAGGTGTAGTTTGGAACCCACAGAGAGGAAGAAACATAAAAGGGGCCCAGATAAGATGATCTGAGGAGACAGAAGCCAAGGGGCAAAGGGCAGGTGGATCTGTGGGGAGGGGTTGGGGTGTGGCCGCTGTAGAGCCAGCCGGATATCCTGGAGGAAGCACCCTGCTGGAGGCTCGCACTTGACCTTTCAGGGTGGACACCTTTCAGGGTGGACAATGTCCCAGGGCCGAGTAGTGGTGGCCTGTGGCTCAGGGCACCGCATCTACTTTCAGAGGCTCCCTGGGGGCTCGGACAGCGCAGACAATGGCAGCCCAGTAAGGCACCAAGGGAAGGTCACAGCCAAGTATGGCCACAAGAAGCTACCCTCCCGGGCCTGGAAGAGTGGATCCTGGAGCAGCTCCCTTGCAAAAAGGACACCCCGGAGTTGGTGATTGACATGGAGCTGGGTCAAGGAGTTGCTGGTTGACTGTTACAAACCCACTGAGACCTTTGTCTGCTGGATAAGATCCGGGGCATGAAGAGACTGAACACACCCCAGGTAAGAGACAGCTCCCAGAGGACAATCACTGCCCCCTAACCTCATACCAACAGCAATGCGGGGGGCGGGGGGGATGAGAGGTGTCTGAGGCCTGGCCTGGGGCCTGAGCAGGGCTTCCAGTGCCCCTGGCCCAAGGGCCTCTTCTCTGCCCCCTTAGTTTTCCATTTGGGGAGTTTTTTTGTTTTAATTGCTATTAAACTGATGGGACTTAAAAATAATCTGAGACACTCATTAACAACACACATTTCGGGCAGCCCCGGCGGCACAGAGGTTTAGCACCACCTGCAGCTCAGGGCCTGATCCTGGAGACTGGGATCGAGGCCCACGTCAGGCTCCTACATGGAGCCTGCTTCTTCCTCCTCCTGTGTCTCTGCCCCACCCCCCCCCCTCTCTCTCTCTCTCTCTCTATCATAAATAAATAAATAAATCTTTAAAACACACACACACACACACACAACACACACACATTTCCAGACCCTGGAATGTCCTAGGGAGAGTTTTGCCCTACCCCCCAACTTGAACCTCAACAGTGACCACAAACATCGGCCACAGCCACTCAGCTTCTGGAGGACTGTGAGCTGAGCCTCAGTGAGCCAATTTGGAAAATGGACATTAAATGGTAGAGATCTTTGAAGGATCCGATAATAATACACATGAATAGCATGGCTCCTGGCTTGAAATTTGGGATCAGCAAGCACTAGTTTGTTATTATTTGGACACATTTACACAATTAGAATCCCCAAGCACCTGTCCCTGACTTCCATCTCTTTTTTTTTTTTTTTTTAAGATTTTACTTATTTATTCATGAGAGACAGAGAGACAGAGATATAGATAGAGGGAGAAGCAGGCTCCCTTTGGGGAGCCCTATGTGGGACTCGATTACAGAGCCCAAGAATCATGACCCAAGCCAAAGGCAGATGCTCAACCACTGAGCCGCCCAGGTGCCCCCTGACTTCCATATCTAAGGAGACCCATTCCAGCTGCTCAGGATGCTTTTCACATTTTGTAATTCTAATTTGCAAGTGTCTGGCTTCCTTCCTCAGTCTCCGCCAGGAGATTCTTAAGTTCCAAAAAGAGCAAGGAGAGGAGGGTTCATTCACATCTGTCAAGTTCACGGCCCAAACAGCAGTATGCCCAGCATACATGGCCAAGAACAAAGTCGCCTCTGTCCTGGAGCCACCTCCACCCCACCACTGCCTCCTGTCTGTCCTTTTGCTCTAGTGTTAGATCACCAGGATTATTTTGACCCTTTATATATATTCAGAAAATGACTTTTTTTTCTTTAAAGATTTATGTTTTTGAGAGAGAGAAAGAACATGAGCGAGGGGGGACAGAGGGAGAAGGAAAGGGAGAAGCAGGCTCCCTGCTGAGCGGGGAGCCTGACTTGGGGCTTGATCCCAGGACTTCAGGATCATGACCTGAGCCAAGGGCAGACACTTAACCGACTGAGCCACGCACGCACTCCTGCAAAATGATTTCTTGAATACTACTATCGATGGTGGTCATTTCTTACAGAAGCAACAAGACACTAATACACAGTAGCAAACAGCCCTATAGGACTTGGAATATGGCAGGTGCCATCCCAAGCACGTTATATATTATAAATAACAATTCATTTCAACTTCACATAAATCCTGTGAGGTAATTACCATCATCAGTGTAGAATGGGTTCTACAGATGAGGCAAATGAGAGAAGCCAAATCACTCGCCTGAGAGCCCACAGCTAGTAGGTGACAGACTTGGAATCGCAACCCTGGCCGGCTGGATCCCATTCATGCTCTGAAGCATCATGTGAAGTTCTTTCTGGCACTGAATCTGTGCTGAACACATTTTGGTGAATGAGCTAATGAGGGGTGGCTGGCTGGCTCAGTCGATAGAGTGTGTGTGACCCTTGATCTTGAGGTGGTGAGTTCAGGCCCCATGTTGGGTGTAGAGTTACTTTAAAACCAAATTTTATTTTTATTTATTTATTTGTTAAGATTTTATTTATTCACGAGAGACACAGTGAGAGAGAAGTAGAGACATAGGCAGAGAGAGAAGCAGGCTCCATGCAGGGAGGCTGGTGTGGGACTCAGTCCTGGGACCCCCAGGATCATGCCCTGGGCCAAAGGCAGATGCTCAACTGCTGAGCCACCCAGGCACCCCAAAACAAAAAAAAATTTAATGAGTTAATGAGCAGATGCTCTGCTTACTGCCTGGGACACTGTCCCCCCATCCATAATGTGGTTGACAGTTTATGTATGATATTTAATTTCATATGATTTTATTTATTCATGAGAGACACAGAGAGAGACAGAGACACACAAAAAGAGAGAGAAGCAGGCTCTATGCAGAGAGCCCGACATGGGACTCGATCCCGGGATTCCAGGATCACGCCCTGAGTCAAAGGCAGACACTCAACCACTGAGCCACCCAGGCGTCCCTCGTAGGTGTTTTAATAACACTCGAATTTGACCCTGTTCATCACCCTGTTCACCTTCACCTTCACGCTCTGCCGCCTGCAGGGTGAGCTCCCTGACCCTTCCCAAATGGTCCAGTTGATCAATCCAGGTTCATCTTTCGCCTTCCCCCCCACTCCTAACCTGGGTTCCAGACTCCAACTTCTTTTAAGTCAGCTCTATGACCCACCTGGGGCTCAAACTCTATTCTGAGCCAGCCAGGCACCCCCAGGCTCTCATTTCTGAATGGATTCAGCTTTCTCTTACATGGGAGCTGTCTCTTCCAGAAAACCATCTCTCCTTCTATGCCTGAAAACCTCCATCAAGATCTTTCCGAATGGGGGCACCTGGGTGGCTCAGTGGTTGAGCATCTACCTTTGGCTCAGGTCCTGATCCCAGGGTCCTGGGATCAAGTTCCACATCCACTCCCTGCAGGGAGCCTGATTCTCCCTCTGCCTATGTCTCTGTGTCTCTCTGAATAAATAAATTTATTTTATTCATTTATTTATAAATCAATGAAATAAAATCGACATGTCTGCAGGGCTGCATTCCTTCTGGAGGTTCTAGGGGAAAATCTGTCTCTGTTTTTTTTTTTTTTCCCAGCTTCTGGAGGCACCTGCATTCCTTGGCTGATGGCCCTGTCCTCCTGCATGAAAAAGCCAGCAGCATAGCATTTTCAGATCCCTTACTCTCCTTTGTTGTCACATCTGCTCCAATGGAGTCTCCTGCCTTCCTTTCCTAAGGACTTTTGTAATTGCAAGGAGCCCACCACAAAATCCAGGATAATCTTGCCATCTCAGGAGCCTTAACAATCATATCTGCAAAGTCCCTTTTACCAGGTAAGGTCACATATGGACAAGGTCTGATGATTAGGGCGCTGACACCTTCAGGAGCTGGGGGCATTACTGTGCCAACCACAGGCTGTGCCTCTTTCCCCCACCAGAGGGCGGCAGGAAGCAGGGTGAGGCTCATCTCTGGGTACCCAACACCACTGGGCACATGATCAGGTCAAAAGTAAAAAATATTTGCTAAACGAACATGTGAGTCATGCCAATGGGGGTGCTGAAACAAGAAGCTGTCCAAATTAGGTCTTTGTCCCTGCTGCTCCTGCCGAAAACCCTTGGTGCCCTCTCCAAGTCCTTCGTGACTCCTCCCCTGCCTGCCTTCCTAACTCCATCTTCCATCCCACTGGCCCACCATCTCTTTCCTTCAACCATGCTGACCTGTTCTCACTCCTTAGAACATATCTAAGGGCTGATAGTTGATATGAGAGCAAAGAAAGTGTCTGTCTCGTTTCTAATGTGTCCTCAGGACCTAAAATGAATTAGATGCTCAGTAAATATTTGTATTTCGTACAGGAAGACTATCTGTAGAATGACCCTGGAGGCTCTTTCTGGAACTCCCGGCTAGGAGCTGGACCCCCCTGGCTGGCACAGGGTCTTCCTGTCTTGTCATGATTTCAACTTCCTTCTAGGTCTGCACCTGACATTTCCCACAAGTACCTGGAAAGTGCTGGTACTCAGGCCCAGATTGGACTTGCCACACTTCCAACACTCCAGGTTCCAGAAATGCTGTCATGTGCTTAACCCTCATGGCCTGCCTCTAGTTCAGTGTTGGACCTTCTGCACACAAGATGCTGGTCCCAGGTCAGTGACTTTCTTAACTTAATTATGAATTAAAGTAAATATAGCTGGGGTGGCTGGGTGGCTTAGTCGGTTAAGCATCTGCCTTTGGCTCAGGGCATGATCCCAGGGTCCTGGGATGGAGTCCTGCATCATGATCGGGCTCCCTGCTCAGCGGGGAGTCTGCTTCTCCCTCCCTCGGCCCCTCCTCTCTGCCCATGCTCATTCTCTCTCTCAAATAAGTAAATAAAACCTTAATAAAATAAACACAGCCAACTCCGCTCAGTGCATGTCCTATATCCCTGTGATGTCACTCAGTGTTTTTTTCCCCCCACTGATGTTTAAGTTTTTGAGATTCCTTTTTTTAAATTTTTATTTATTTATGATAGTCAGAGAGAGAGAAAGAGAGAGAGAGGAGCAGAGACATAGGCAGAGGGAGAAGCAGGCTCCATGCACCGGGAGCCCAATGTGGGACTCGATCCTGTGTCTCCAGGATCGCGCCCTGGGCCAAAGGCAGGCGCCAAACTGCTGCGCCACCCAGGGATCCCAGTTTTTGAGATTCCATGTGTGTACAGTGTGGAGGTAGTTCATCCATTTTTCCTGCTGTGTGGTACCCTGTTAGAACTTGCCACCATTGGGGATCCCCGGATGCCTCAGCGGCTTGGTGCCTGCCTTTGGCACAGGGTGCAATCCTGGAGTCCTGGGTTCGAGTCCCGTGTCGGGCTCCCGGCATGGAGCCTCCTTCTCCCTCCTCCTGTGTCTCTGCCTCTCTCTCTCTCTCTCTCTCTCTCTCTCTCTGTCTATCATAAATAAATAAATATTTTAAATAAATAAATCTTAAAAAACAAAAGAACTTGCCACCATTTGGTCATGGGTTTTTCTACTGATGGCCCTTCCTAATTTTGAGCTATCACACCCAATGTTGCAATAAACGTTCTTACATATGTCCTCTCAGGCCCACATCTGAGAGTTTCTCAAGGCTATGCATCTTCCACCCACAATAAAAATCGCTGGACCACGAGACACTCCTTTTCTATTTTACCGGATATTGCAAAATGATTATTTTCTGGGTACACGAACTCCCTGTCAACAATTTTTTTTTTTCCTGTCAACAATTTTTGAAGTTGGAACATTTCATTCTGAAACTGTTTAAGAAAAAAAAAAAGAAAAGAAAAAAAAGAAACTGTTTAAGAATTTACGAAAATAATACAGAGTGCTCCTTTGTACCCTACAGTGAGCTTCCCCCTAGCCCAACCCCTGATGATATCTTAGGTAAATATACAGTGCTATTGTCAAAACCAGGAATTTACATTACTATGTTATTTAATCAGGTACAGATCTGCTTTGGATTTCACCAATATTTACTTGGATTTACGTTCACTTTAAAAATGTCTGGAGGCACCTGGGTGGCTCAGGGGTTGAGCATCTGCCTTCACCTCAGGTCATGATCCCGGGGTCCTAGGATCAAATCCTGCATCAGGGTCCCCACAGGGAGCCTGCTTCTCCCTCTGCCTATGTCTCTGCCTCTCTGTGTGTCTCTCATGAATAAATAAATAAAATCTTTAAAAAAATTTCTAGTATACAGTTCTATGAAACTTTATCCATTGTGAAGATTCAAGTATCTATTGCCACAAACAGGATACGGAACTGTTTCATCCCTCCACAGAAACTCTGTGTTACACCTTAATAAAAGCAGCTTTTCCCAAACTTTAACTCCTGGACACCGCTGGTCTGTTCTTTATCACTGCTGTTACCAGGCAGAGAACCCGTTCCAAACTCAGATTCTGTTGCTCGCTGCTAGAAAATCAATACTGGGTAGGCTAGCGATGGTGAGAAAGGAAAAGTTGCCTTTTTTTTTTAAAGATTTTATTTATTCAGATAGAGGCAGAGGGAGAAGCAGGTTCCCCAAGGAGGAGCAAGGAACCCAATGTAGGACTTGACCCCAGCACCCCAGGATCACAATCTGAGCTGAAGGCAGATGCTTAACTGACTAAGCCACCCAGATGCCCCAATCCATTAATATTTTTATTCATCAGTTTGTGTGAACTTGGAATCTCTCTGTCTGAGTGAAACTTAGATTTTTTAAAAAGATTTTATTTATTTATTTGAGAGCATGAGCAAGGGGCAGAGGGAGAGATACAAGCAGTCTCCCCCCTGAGCAGAGAGCCTCACACGGGGCTCCATCTGAAGACCTTGGATCATGACCTGAGCCAAAGGCAGATGCTTAACTGACTGAGCCACCCAGGTGCCCCTGACACTCAGATCTTAACAGAATGTCTACAAGGGAGGAGAAGTGGACAGGTTTGTTGTGGGTAAATTTGGCCAGCCCTTTGCCAACTGAGTTAGAGAATAATGATTTGCTATATTTTACATCGCAGACTCTAGAGCTCTCTTAATCCTCTTAAACAGTAGATGCCATTGTGAACTCAGTTTTCCAGAAGAGGTAGGCAAGGCTCTGACAGGGAAACCATGCGTGCAAAGCAGTAGAGCCAGGCAATGGCAAGGAGGGGCTGGGAACCAGTCAGCATGGCTTCAGGGTTTTTAAGAAGCAGAACAGTCGGGTTTCTAAAACTATGGTCTTGGGGGATCCTTGGGTGGTTCAGCAGTTTAGTGCCTGCCTTTGGCCCAGGGTGTAATCCTGGAGTCCCAGGATTGAGTCCTGCATCTGGCTCCCTGCGTGGAGCCTGCTTCTCCCTCTGCCGGTGTCTCTGCCTCTCTCTGTGTGTCTCTCATAAATAAATAAATAAAATATTTTTAAAAATTAAAAAAATAAAACTATGGTCTTTGGAAGGAGCCAATTTGCAGGTCTTCACATTCTGGCTGAGACTTTGAAAAAATGACCCCAGCTCTCTGGGATTATTTCTCCCTCTGTAAACAGGGAGCAATAGAACCTAGTTCCAGATCTGCAGTTAGAAATTAGAAATGAAGAAAGAAAAGCACAGAGCTGGGGGCCTGGCCACAGCAGGCGTTCTGGAAATATTAGTAATTAATGTTTGCTATTACTATGTTGTCCCTCCCTATGGACAATTAATTCCTAAGGGTGTGCGGCTTTCCGAACAAAATAAATGGGGGAAGGAGGCAGGGTGACAGCTCCTAAGGGTCGAAGGTGACAAGAAAGCAATCCTCCCCACCCCTCTTGGGGTGCCAGGATGGCTAAGTCGGTAGAGCTTGCAACTGTTGATCTTCGCTGGGGACTTCAACCTTTACGTTGGGCATAGAGTTTCAAAGAAAAAAAAAAAAACACCCCGCCCCTACGTCACGTGGTTAGACGTCGCCATTGGCAACGAGTGAAGGCTGTCTGGTCCCACCCCCTAGGAGGAGGGGCCAATGGTGCGCTCTTCCAATGGGGATGCTGGGTTAAATTCCCTCCCTCCTTTGCATGGAGACTGGAGGGGCGCGCTGGCCTCGTGACCAATGAGAAGCGGCGTAGGGGCAATGGGGGCGGAGAGGTGACCACGCCCCCTGGTGGGCGGGGCGTCAGGTCTTTAATTTGCAGCCCGAGGTGGCGAGACTTCGGGACCCTAGGTTTTTGGCGATGGCGCTTCGCTGGGGTATTGTGTCAGCCGGCCTTATCTCCAGCGACTTCACGACCGTGCTGGGAACGCTGCCTCGCTCCGAGCACCAGGTCCACCCTCCCCCCGGAATCCCGTGGAAGAGCAGGCCGGGGAGCCGGGACTCCTGGGTCTGCGGGAGGAGGGAGGGAGGGAGGGACCCCCTACTCCTTTCTCCACTTCAGTCCTGTGAACTCGGGTTTCGTCAAGTTTGGGAGGGTTTTGTTCTAAGCTACTGCGAAGAGAAGAAATGTAGTTATTAGGGGATTTAATAATCGCTTCCCCCCAGATCTCTCTTACAGGACCGATGTCCAGCCCCCATCACCTCCTCCCCCAAGACCCCATCCCCCCCGCCTCCGTCCTGGGGGACATAATTTTTCTTGACCTGGGGCCCTCTCCATCAACCTCCCTCCCATCCACCTGTCCCGGGCCAGCACCTGCTTCAGCCCCTCAAGTCTGACCCTAGCTCCCTTCCAGGTAGTGGCTGTAGCGGCCCGCGACCTGAGCCGGGCGAAGGAGTTTGCGAGGAAACATGACATCCCCAAAGCCTACGGGTCCTATGAGGAGTTGGCCAAAGACCCGAATGTGGGTGAGTGGCGAGGGCAGCCGAGGCCATGGCGACACTGTCTCTAAGGCTGCTCCGTAGGATAAGCAAGGCTCCATGGGATGGCCCAACCCTTGTGTGCTTCTAGAAGGCTCTGGGGCTGGGAGGCAGAACTGTAGGATAGGGTTTGGTCTGGGATTAGCAGTCTAGTTTAGGGACAAGGCTTCTGCGGGATGGGGGGGGCCTGAATTTTCGATCCCCTTCAGGTTGTAAGTAAGCTCTGTGGCCAGGGCGTCTGTGTTCTGGGGTGGCCTGGATGGAGGGACAGAACATTACAGGTGGACAACCACCTGATGGGAGTTAGGCTGCCTGAATTGACATTTTTTCTCTTCTGCTTACCCTTCTTAGTTTCCTCAATTGTAAATTGGCAAAATAGTAGTATCTACCTCTCTCTTTTTAAAATATTTTATTCATTCATGAGAGACACACAGAGAGAGGCAGAGACACAGGCAGAGGGAGAAGCAGGCTCCCTGTGGGGAGCCCAGTGTGGGACTAGATCCCAGGACCCCAGGATCACCACCTGAGCCAAAGGTAGATGCTCAACCACTGAGCCACCCAGGCGTCCCAATAGTATCTACTTCTTGATGTTGTTGTGACAAATGACTTAATGATAATTTGGGAAGGCTGGAAATAACCTGAAGAAAGGGGTGCCTGAGTGGCTCAGTTGGTTAAGCATCTGCCTTTGGCTCCAGTCCCGGTCCCAGCGTTCTGGGCTCGAGTCCCACATCTTTGGGCTCCCTGCTCAGGTGGGAGCCTGCTTCTCCTTCTCTCTCTGCTGTTCCTTCTGCTTGTGCTCTGGCTCTCTCTGTTAAACAAATGAAATGAAATGAAATGAAATGAAATGAAATGAAATGAAATGAAATGAAATGAAATAGGGACGCCTGGGTGGCTCAGCGGTTGGGGGTCTGTCTGCCTTTGGCTTAGGGCGTGATCCCAGAGTACGGGAATCGGACTCCCTGCGTGGAGCCTGCTTCTCCCTCTGCCTATGTCTCTGCCTCTTTCTCTGTGTGTCTCTCATGAATAAATAAATAAAATCTTTAACAAAAAAATTAAATAAATAAATAAAAATAATCTGAAGAAAATAAGAATTATAGTAAAGAATGGTTAGCTCCTTCCTAATGGCAGACTGCGGTTTGACCACTGCCCTAGGGCTGAGTCTGTCCTTGGTTGGCGGCCCCCAGTTGGGAGGATGCTGGGGGCGGGGCCTCTACATTGTGGGAGGGTTCCGGAGGCCTGGGGTGGGCGGGGCTTATAATCTCCTGACCTCCTCCCTTCCAATCTAGAGGTGGCCTACATCGGCACTCAGCACCCCCAGCACAAGGCCGCGGTGTTGCTGTTCCTGGCAGCGGGCAAGGCCGTCCTGTGCGAGAAGCCCATGGGTGTGAACGCTGCAGAAGTTCGCGAAATGGTTGCCGAAGCCCGATCCCGAGGCCTCTTTCTTATGGAGGTGAGGGTGGAGGGGACCTTCCAACCTCCGACGTGGTGCTTCTTGCCATTACTTAACATGGTTTCCAGGGGGCTTTTTTTTTTTTTTTTTTTTTTTTTTTGAGGAACACAATGAAAGGGATTGGCCAGAACCAAACCAAGATGGCCACAAAACGAACTGGCGTTGGTGTGTTTTCCAGGATGTAGTTGAGCTATGCCCATGAAATCTCCTAGCAACACTTAGGAGTGAGAGCCATGGCTTTTGGCCCTTAGCAAACGTGGCCGCCTGAAAGATACTTGGTCCGCTTTTCAGAGAAACATGCCAGCAGTAGAGGCGATAGAGAATAGCAATAGGCTGAGTTTGGGTAGATTTCCAAGGAAAGCTGTCAGAAGGACCAGGGCACCCCTACCCTACCAACTCTTAAGATCAGCCTGCCTTTGTTTTTGCCCTTATCAGACATGGCTACCTATAGGGGACCTTTGACAGTTTGCCCAGTGCCAGTAATTAGATGGCTGCCAAATGACCTCTAGAAGTTATTTTCACTTTAAGGGGTATGGTGGTTCTGAAATGCTACCTTGTTGTAGGTGCTGCCAGTAGTAGCAACAGCTGCCTCTTATTTCCCCATGTCCTATCTAGCTGTCTTCTGCCCAATATTGCTCCCAGTCTGCAAAGTTCCCTATGCCAAAGGAGTAGATAGCCAAGATTTAATACTCAGTGCTTCTGGTTCTCACTGTGCTCAGCAGTGCCCACATTCTGAATTTATTGTTTCCTCAGTTCTGTTGGCCCCAATTATGTTCCAGATCCAACCCCGGGAACTGGGGGATTCATAACGTGTAAGACACAGGCTCAGTTTGCAACGAGCCAAGGTACACTACGGTCACAGAAATGGTTGATCCCAATGCACAGTTGCACAGACTTTCATGGATATAGTACTGGGCAGCTGACAGAGCACCAAGGCACCTGCCCAGGGTGGGGGATAATCAAGGAAGTTTCCCTACAGGTAGGGACTGACTCAAGCCTTAAAGGGAAAATAAATTGCACAGGTAAATGGGCCTGAGTGGGGAAAGCAGAGCTAAGATTTAAAGAAAACAAGAATGGACAGATCTCATGTATCTAATGTGAAACTGACCTTGGACAGGCTTTAGAGTTAGAGGACTCTAGACTCCATCTCACCAGTTCCTAGCTCTGTGACCTTGGGCAAGTAATTTGAGACAGGGTGCACTCTAGGAGAAGGAAAGATGCCTCTGGAGCCACATGAAGGGTGGCCTAGAGTGGGGAGGCAGCACATATTAATTTGTTAGGGTTGCCATAACAAAGTACTACCACAGACTGGGTGGCTTAAACAAGAGAGATTTATTTTCTCATATTTCTGAAAGCTGGAAGTCTGAGATCAAGATGTCAGCAGCGCTAGTTTCTCCTAAGGCCTCCCCCTCCTTGGCTTGTAGATGGCGGTTTTCTCCTTCTGTCTTCACATGGTTTTTCTCTGTGTATGTCATTGTCCTCATCTCTTCCTGTTGGATTAGGGCCCACCATAATGACTTCGTTTTAACCTAATTACCTCTTTAAAAAACCCCATCTCCACAGTGGGAGGTACTGGGGGAGGGGGGCAGTTACCACCTCAACATGAATTTGGTGGAGACAAAATTGAGCCCATAACATTGAGAGACTGGGAGAATGGTCTAGATAAGAAAGGACAAGGTCAGAGTTGGGGCCATGGGAATGGAGAGGAGAGGAGAGGGCAGAGACTTAGGAGCAAGACACAACTTGGGGCCCTAGCCTGGCTATGGAAGGGAGGAGAAAGGTCCTTGTTTGGAGAGTCTGGAACAGTGGAGACTCCCTCAAGACTGGGTTCCCAGGGATCCCTGGGTGGTGCAGCGGTTTGGCGCCTGCCTTTGGCCCAGGGCGTGATCCTGGAGACCCGGGATCGAATCCCACATCGGGCTCCCGGTGCATGGAGCCTGCTTCTCCCTCTGCCTGTGTCTCTGCCTCTCTCTCTCTCTCTCTGTGACTATCATAAATAAATAAAAATTAAAAAAAAATCCTTTAAAAAAAAAAAAAAAAAAAAAGACTGGGTTCCCAGAAGGGAGAGGAATTGGTTGGTTAACTCCTGGGTCCTGACATCTTTCCTTCTTTTTCCATCGTCCTGCTTTCTCCCCTCTGTGGTGTGCAGGCCATCTGGACCCGCTTCTTTCCTGCTGTAGAGGCTCTGAGGGCTGCTCTGTCACAGGGAACTCTGGGGGAACTCCGGGTGGCTCGGGCAGAATTTGGGAAGAACTTCACCCACATTCCCCGGTCTGTAGACTGGGCCCAGGCTGGCGGTGGCCTGCTCGACCTTGGCATCTACTGCATCCAGTTCATCTCTATGGTCTTTGGTGGGCAGAAGCCGGAGAAGATTTCAGCCGTGGGAAGGCGCTATGAAACAGGTACAATCTATCCTGGACTATATGATGATGACAAGAGTGATCCTCCCTTACTGGGAGCCCTGACCTGGGGCTAAGTCTCCTAGCCCTTCAAGAATCAGGTAGGGGGATCCCTGGGTGGCGCAGCTGTTTGGCGCCTGCCTTTGGCCCAGGGCGCGATCCTGGAGACCCGGGATCGAATCCCACGTCGGGCTCCCGGTGCATGGAGCCTGCTTCTCCCTCTGCCTGTGTCTCTGCGACTATCATAAATAAAAACTAAAAAAAAAAAAAAAAAAAAAAAAAGAATCAGGTAGGAACTTACTGCCTGAAGCCAAAGAAGATCAGAGTTGAGAGTGTGGGCAGGCTCTGTACTGGGATTTGCTGTGTGATTTTAGCCAAGGGACTCAAATCTCTGAGTCTTGGTTACTGATAAGATGTCAATAATGGGGTCATCATAGGGGTGCCCTGCCAGCTCAGTCCACAGAGCATGTGACACTTTTTTTTTTTTTTTGGTTTGGTTTAGAGATTTTATTTATTTATTCATGAGAGATATATATAGAGAGGCAGAGACATAGGTAGAGGGAGAAGCAGGCTCTATGCAGGGAGCCCAATGTGGGACTCGATCCAGGCATTCCAGGATCACGCTCTGAGCTGAAGGCAGACACCCAACCGCTGAGCCACCCAGGCGTCCTGAGCATGTGATCCTTGATCTCGGTTGTGAGTTCAAGCCCCACATTGGGCGTAGAAAGAAAGAAAGGGGCAATGAGGTTGTCCTGAAGGGTTCATGACTCAACTTCTGAAACTAATACTACACTATATGTTAATGAATTTAATTTTAATTAAAACAAAGTTAATGGAATTAGCCTTTTTTTAAAAAAAAGTTTTTATTTATTCATGAGAGACAGAGAGAGAGAGAGAGAGAGAGAGAGAGAGAGGTAGAGGGAGAAGCAGGAGCCTGAAGCAGGACTTGATCCCAGGACCCCAGGATCACAACCCAAGCCAAAGGCAGACACTCAGCCACTGAGCCACCCAGGTGTCCCTGAAGTCAGTCTTTCTTATCATCTGGCTGGTTTGGCCTCATTCATACCATGGGCTCCGTGCCAGGTGCAACAAAATGCAGGCCCCAGGGTGCAAGGTTTTTCAAACCTTTGCTTCCACCTTGTTTGCTTCTGTTCCATGGCCCAAAGCCAGCTCAGATTTCAGAGGCAGGCAGATAGACTGTACCTCTCTCTCTCTCTCTCTCTCTTTTTTTTTTTTTTTTTAAGATTTTATTTATTTGGGCAGCCCCGGTGGCACAGCGGTTTAGCGCCGCCTGCAGCCCAGGGCGTGATCCTGGGGACCCTGGATTGAGTCCCACATCGGGCTCTCTGCATGGAGCTTGCTTCTCCCTCTGCCTGTGTCTCTGCCTCTCATTCTCTCTCTGTGTTTCTATGAATAAATAAATAACATCTTAAAAAAAAGATTTTATTTATTATAGGGGCCACAAGAATTCTCCTCATTCCCCTGTGAGTGCCCCTCGGTAATATGACTCTTAAAGTTCCTTCAGCCAAGAGGTATTGTCTAGGGACGGCTGAGTGGCTCAGTGGTTGAGCATCTGCCTTTGGCTCAGGGTGTGATCCCGGAGTCCTGGGATGGAGTCCCGCATCAGGCTCCCTGCAGGGAGCCTGCTTCTCCCTCTGCCTGTGTCTCCACCTCTCTGTGGTTTTGTTTTTTTTTTTTAAGATTTTATTTATTTAGGGATCACTGGGTGGCGCAGTGGTTTGGCGCCTGCCTTTGGCCCAGGGCGCGATCCTGGAGACCCGGGATCGAATCCCACGTCGGGCTCCCGGTGCATGGAGCCTGCTTCTCCCTCTGCCTGTGTCTCTGCCTCTCTCTCTCTCTCTCTGTGACTATCATAAATAAATTAAAAAAAAAAGATTTTATTTATTTAAAAAAAAAGATTTTATTTATTTATTCATGAGAGACCCAGAGAGAGAGAGAGAGAGAGAGAGAGAGAGAAAGAGAGACTTATCCAGGCTCACAGAGCAGATAAGAACTTGGCCTTATCTCGGGGCACCTGGGTGGCTCAGTCAGTTGAGCATCTGACTCTTGGTTTTGGCGCAGGTCGGGATATCAAGGTCAAGAGATCCAGCCCTACATTGGGCTCCACACTCAGTGGGGAGTCAGCATGAAGTTTTCTCTCTCTCTGCCTCTCCAGCTCATGCTTGCTCTCTCTTTATTTCTGAAATAAATAAATAAATCTTAAAAACAGAAAAAGAACTTGGGCTTCTCTGAAACCAAAGAGAATTAGGTCAGCAGGTTCTTCCATTGAGGGCATGTATGATGTGTTCCAGATCTAGGCTAGCACTTTACATGCTGTATTTAATTTAATGTTTAACTAATGCTTATATAGCTTATATAGCCCTTATTATAATCCAAATGGCCTTCGAAGTGCTTTGTGCATTTTACATAACTTAGTGTAATACTCTAACAGCTGTATGATACAGTTTCGATTCTCCTCATTTTGGAGCTGAGGAAATGGATTCTCACAAACCGATACAACAGTTTTTTTTTTTTTTAAGATTTTATTTATTCACTCATGAGAGACACACAGAGAGAGAGAGGCAGAGACACAGGCGGAGGGAGAAGCAGGCTCCATGCAGGGAGCCTGATGTGGGACTCGATCCCAGGACCCCAGGATAACACCCCAGGCCAAAGGCAGGCACCAAACCGCTGAGCCACCCAGGCATCCCACAACAGGTTATTTACAGAGGATGAAACAGGCTCTGAGAGGTTAAGTCTCTCTCTCTATTTTTATTTTTTTTAATATTTCTATTTATTTATTAGAGAGAGAGAGAAAGAGAACACGAGCAAGGGGAAGGGCAGAGGGAGAGGGAGAAGCAGTCTCCCAGCTGAGCAGGGCGCCAGACATGAGGCTCAATCCCAGGACCCTGAGACCATCACCTGAGCTGAAGGCAGATGCTTAGCTGGACTGAGCCACCCAGGTGCCCTTCTTTCTCTCTCTCTCTTTAAAGATTTATATACTGGGCAGCCCCAGTGGCTCAGCAGTTTAGCGCCACCTTCAGCCCAGGGCCTGATCCTGGAGACCCGGGATTGAGTCCCACTTCGGGCTCCCTGCATGGAGCTTGCTTCTCCCTTTGCCTGTGTCTCTGCCTCTCTCTGTGTGTGTCTCTCGTGAATAAATAATCTTTTTTTAAAAAAGATTTATATACTTATTTGAGAGAGTGTGTGCATGCATGTGCACGCGCGCGCGCGAGAGAGAGAGAGAGAGAGAGCGGAGCCCGATGCGGGTCTCAACTCCTCCACCCTGAGATCATGACCTGAGCCAAAACCAAGAGTGAGACACATGACTGACTGAGTCACGCAGGTGCCCTTCTTTTTTTTTTTTTTTTTTTTAGTATACATTGTTTATTATTTTGGTAACAGTTTTACTCAGATACAATTCAAATGCCATACAATTTACTCACTTAAAACATATAATTCCATGGCTTTACTGTATTCACAGAGTTGTATGTTTATTATCCTAATCAATTTTAGAATATTTTCATCATTCAAAATAAAACCCCTCAAAAAACCCATACCCACACCCAATTCTCCCATCCCCCTGACCCGGAAGGAAACACATTCATCTACTCTCTGGCTCTGGGGATTTGCCAAAGATGACACACTTCACACAAGTGGAATCCGCCAATATGCAACCTTTTATGTCCAGCTTCTTTCACTTAGCATATGTGTTTTGTTTTTTTCAATATTTTTTTTATTTATTTATTTATTTATTTATTTATTCATTCATTCATTCATTCATTCATGAGAGACATACAGAGAGAGGCAGAGACATAGGCAGAAGGAGAAGCAGACTTGCTGCAAGGAGCCTGATACAGGATTCAATCCCAGGACCCCAGGATCACTCCCTGAGCCAAAGGCAGATGCTCAACCACCCAGGCACCCCAGCATATGTGTTTTTAATTTTAATTTTTAAAAAGATTTATTTATTTATTTTAGAGAGAGAGGAGAGGAGAGAGGACATGCTGGGAGGGGGAAGGGCAGAGGGAGAGGAAGAGGGAGAGAAGTAGACTCCCTGCTGAATTGGGATCCCACTGAGGGCAACTCGGGGCTTGATTTCATGACCCTGAGATCACAACCTAGGCTGAAATCCAGCCAGACACTTAACCAACTGAGTCACCCAGGTACCCCAGCATACATAATTTTAGTGCTTCATTCTTTTTCACTGCTGTGTTAGAGACGAGGTTTCTTGCCCAAGGTTCCATAGGCAGGGTTTGCAATCAGGCCTTCTCCTGTCCTGTACCTTCCCCAGGTGTGGACGACACCGTCACTGTGCTCCTCCAGTACCCAGGAGGGATCCATGGCAGCTTTACCTGCAGCATCTCTGCTCAGCTCTCTAATATGGCCTTTGTGAGCGGTACCAAGGGCATAGGCCAGGTGAGGCATGACTGGCTATGCTGGGAACTGTGGCCCCTAGCAACAGCCAGTTGTGGTTGTTGGAGCTGGCTGTGGCCTGAATTAGTCTGTCCCCACAGCATTGCTAAGGAATCCATCCTTGATCACCAGGACATGGATGGGATGGGTTCAGACCTCCAGGATCCTTCCTGAGGGTGAACTTCCTGGTCTGTCAAAAATCCTTAGGCCTAAAGAGAAACTAGTTCTTATCAACCATGCTTGGAGGGCAGCTGTGGCCTTTAGAATTGCTTCGAGGATTGGATGTAGACATTACCAAAGAGTGGCTTCATTGGGCTTCATGGGTCCTGTTGCTAGAAGGAAATCCTGCTCCTAGCAGAAGAATTCGGACCTTGCCCCAGATTTGAACTGTAGACTTTGGACCTTGCTCCAGTCACATCTCTATTTCCAGTTTGGCTTAGGCTTGGGTATGGCTCTAGGGCCAAAAAAACCCAAGTCTCTTAGTAGATAAGAAGGATCTGGATTGTCTAAGTCTCTTCCTTGCGAAGGGGATTCACAAACATGTGAAGATAAACTGTCTTCATTAGGTCTAAGCACCAGATTAGAGAGGGGTTTGCCCCTGGGGAGACGAGCAGAGAGAGGCCTACCAGCCCCTAGTCACCAGGTGTGTGAGAGAGGCCCTCGAGTATCATTGGGCTGGAGCCCCCAGTAGCCACCTCTTATGTCCCCCCAGATCCTTGACCCTTGCTGGTGCCCAACAGAGCTGGTGTTGAAGGGAGAGCATAAGGAGTTCCCACTGCCCCCGGCCCCAAGCAAGGAGTTCAATTTTACAAATGGAGCAGGCATGGCTTATGAGGCCAAGCATGTCCGGGAGTGCCTGCGAAAGGGTAAGGATGTGGAGGATGGGTGAGAGGGTGGCAGGCGGAGGGGAAACCTGGTAGGGGACGTTGGCTGCTCCCCAACCCTCAGCCACTCTAAGCAGCGGTCTAGAACTATAATTCCCAGGATCCCTGGGGCATCCATCTGCCTGAACCATGTATTATTGTGCCTCACTGGATTCTAGGAATGGTAGTTCTTTTGATCTTTGGGGTCTGAGTAGGAGGAGCCAGTCCCTAACTGTACTCTCCCTGCAGGCCTGAAGGAAAGTCCTGTGATTCCCCTGGCAGAAAGTGAACTCCTGGCTGACATCCTTGAAGAAATAAGGAAGGCCATTGGAGTCACCTTCCCCCAAGACACACGCTAATGCATGCCCTGAGTCAATAAAGACATGGCTCCCACAGAGATCTTGGTGGTCATGGTTTGGTGGGAACTGGAACAAGTCCATTACCAAAGGGATCACTGGAGAATAAATGTGGTAGAAGGATGTGGGGAGGGGGAGGAAGGCAGGGTCAGGACCACATTTCTCACAAGCTCTAGGAGCAGACACCTATGAATAGATCCTTGGTTTGCCATATCCTGTATGACCTCATGCAAGGAATAGTGTGTGGGTAGGAGGTAAATCCCTAACTGCATTCTCCTGAAGCCTGTCTCTCTGTCCCTTTCTCCTCATCAGTAAAGGAGAGACATAGTACTAACTACCGTCTGGTGAGGGTTAAATGAGATAATGTATGTACAGCCTGTAAGGCATGGTAGGTTCTCAGCAAATGTTTACTGATGGCCCTTTGCTTTGAGGTCAGGCCTTTCTCAAACTGGTCTCTAGAAGCTTGAGGCCTCCATTATTAGACAAAAAAGTTATTTCAGCTGGGTTTTTTTTTTTTTTTAAGATTTTATTTATTTTTTCATGAAAGACACAGAGAGAGAGAGAGAGAGAGGCAGAGACACAGGCAGAGGGAGAAGCAGGCTCCATGCAGGGAGCCCGATGCGGGACTCGATCCCTGGTCTCCAGGATCAGGCCCTGAGCTGAAGGTGGCGCTAAACCCCTGAACCACCCGGGCTGCCCCCAACTGAGTTGTTTTTTTTGTTATTGTTATTGATTTTTGCCTTCTGTTTCAATGGCCTTATTGGCAAGGCCTGTAGCAGACTTAGGATGTTCATCCCACTAAAATATTCAAGCAGTTGAAGGGGGGCTATGTGTGGGTGGTTTGCCAGCCAAATAGGGTTAACTTTGGGCTCTAAGCAAGGTCTAACTTTCATATTTTTCTGTAATAGTTTGTGTAGGTTAGATTATGCTGCAGTAACAAACAATCCTCAAACCTCAGCCTAGCATAATAGGTTTATGTCTCACTGGTGCTATGTATTAGCCCAGGGTTCCAGTCTGTATATGTCTGGTAACTTGGCTGACAAAGCCACCATAATCTGGAGTCCTGCTGTTCACTGTGGCCAAGGAAAGAAAGCTCTGGAGGCTTTGATACCAAAATGCCCTAGCACATAAACAATATACACAAGCTCTTGTAATTTGTTGGTAAAAACTAGTCACACGACCTTGATGAGCCAAAGAGAGTCCAGGAAGTTAAATTCTACCAGGTTCTAGAAGATAGAGATGAATAAACCGGGTTGTTTTTTGTTTTTGTTTTGTTTTTAAGATTTTATTTATTTATTCATGAGCCACACAGAGACAGAGACAGAGGGAGAAGCAGGCTCCCTGCGGGGAGCCCCATGTGGGACCCAATCCCGGGACCCCAAGATCATACCCTGGGCTGAAGGCAAGGGCTAAACCGCCGAGCCACCCAGGCTGCCCAATAAACCGGGTTTATACTAATAATTCTTACTTTGACCAAATGAGACTAGACACCAATCAAATGAGTTTTCTATTATTTTCCATTCCAAGTCCTATTATACATCATTCAGCTATCACTACACTGGTTTCAGCCCTCTGCTTGCTTGCTTTCAGTCTTCTGTGTGGCATAGATGGCCACTTACATTGGGAAAGTTTTCACTGGACATGGGCTGCCCAGCAAAACTACATTTCCCAGGCTCCCTTGCAACTAGCTTTTGCCACGTGAACAGGTTCTGACCAATGGAATGTGTATAGCATCTGAGTTCTGGCCTTTTTTAGGCAAAAAGGAAGGTCTCCCTTTCAACCTCTCCCTTCCTGGTACTGGAGTAGAGATGTGATGTTGGACATTGGTGTGTCCATCTTTGTTTTTGTTTTTGTCTTTCATAATATTTTTAAAGATTTTATTTATTCATGAGAGACACACAGAGAGATAGAGACATAGGCAGAGAGAGAAGCAGTCTCCCTGTGGGGGGTCCAATGTGGGACTTGATCCCAGGACCCTGGGATCACGCCCTGAGCCAAAGGCAGATGCTCAACCACTGAGCTATCCAGGCATCCCTGGCATGCCTGTCTTACACCATGAGATGGAAACCATGTTTGCAGAATGTGGAGCCACAAGCTAGAAAGATGGAAGACAGACATGATTATGGAGATAGGCAGGCCCTGAGATCTGTAGGGTGAGTCTGCAAACTAGAGACCCAAAAGAGCCGATGTTTAGTTCCCGTCCCATGTCCAAAGGGCTGAGTACCAGGAGAGCTGATGGTATACTTCTCATCATAAGGCCTGCAGCTTGAGATGCAGGAAGAGCTGATGTTTTAGTGTGTCTGAAGACAGGAAGTAAGCTGACGTCCTATTTCAGAGGCCATCAGGCAGAAATAATTCTTTCTCTCAGGAGGGTCAGCCTTTTTGTTCTATTCGGGCATTTACCTGTGTGGAATGGGCTCACCTGCATGGGGGAACATAGTTTGCTTTACTAAGTCACCAATTTAAATGTTAATCTCACCTAAAACACCCTCACAGAAACATCCAGAAAGGGATGCCTGAGTGGCTCAGTGGTTGAGCGCCTGCTTTTGGCTCGGGGTGTGATCCTGGAGTACCACATGGGGTTCCCTGTGTGAAGGCTGCTTCTCTCTCTGCCTGTGTCTCTGCCTCTCTCTCTGTGTATCTCATGATTAAATAAATACAATATTAAAAAAAAACCACCCAGGAAATATAAGACCAGATTTCTGGACACTCTGGCCCAGCCAAGTTGACATAGAAAGTTAAAGACACAGCCTCTGACACTGGAACTCACTCCCTGTTCCTATCACTTGGGATTGCATATTCTTGGACTTTACATGAGAGGCCTGTAATAATAATAATATAATAAGCTTGACCTGATGTTTCAGCCACTGTTACGTTGGCCTTCACTAAAGCAGCTGAATTGGTGTGCCACTTTACATTTTCCAAAGATGTCTCCTGTCCCCACTCACTTCCCCCATTAAGAGTTGGAACCCCCCCCCCAAAAAAAAAAGAGTTGGAACCCTTCTAGTTCCTCTTCTCCTTAAAGCTGAGTGTGCTCGTGACTCACTCATAGCCACTGCAACATGGCAGAACGTCATGCCCCATGACTTGTGAGGCTGTCAGGAAAGGCAATGTACTTTCTTCCCTGTTCGCTGAAATACTCTTGAACCCTTCAGCCATAATGCCAGTAGTCCAGCTGTCCTGAAGCAGCCAGGCCACAAGGAAATTCGAACTAACCCACACGGAAACCACACAGATAGCCTTGAGACCCCATGAAGATGAATATGCTCAATCAGCAGGTCCTCACCACTATGGACTTGACTGTTCCCGCTCCAGCTGTTTGCCTGAAAACACTGAGTCACCCCAAGCTGGAACTGCCCAGCTAAGCCTTTCCTCAATTCCATTACCCTCAGGCCTATCCAAGATAATAAGATTATTACTGTGGTTTTAAGATGCTAAGCTCTGGGATGATTTGTCACACAGCAATAGCTAACCACAACAACTGCTATCACAGCTTTTACAACATGAGATGGATTCATTTTTAATACGTCTAAGCAAAACTGGAACCCCCCAATCCTACCTATTATTCTCCACCCCAGAGAGTTTCTTAGGTCAGCCAGCAGACCCCCCTGCCCCCCGAATAACTTAGCACCACAACATATGTTATTTCTCTCCTTCACTGCCTTTCCTTGGTGCATGAAGGGTTCCTCCTTTCCTGGCATGATAACTGGTTTCTACTAAAATGCTCCCAACGACCTCTACCATCCAATATTCACATCCTTGTGGCTCCCCTCTCCTGTGAGTGTGCTGGATCTAGTGATCTGCTAAAAGCGGAAGCCATGGGATGTCCATTCTGAGGCGGAATGATGATAGATTGACTTCAGTTCTGCTGGCACCCTTGCTTCCTCACTGTGATGCAGCCAGCTGCTGTGCTGGGAGCTGCCCTATGAAGAGGTCTCATGACAAGGAAGTGAGGATAACCTGCTGTCAACAGCCAGTAAGGAACTGAGGCCCTTGGTCCAACATCTCCCAAGGAACTGAGTCTTCCCAAGTTGAAGATGGGAAGTTGAAAGATGCAAGCTGAAATGGAGCCTTCCCTAGGTGAAACTTTAGATAAGACCAGAACTCCAACTGACACCATTTTTTTTATAGCCTTGGGAGAGAATGTGAGGCAGGAGATCCAGGCCACATCCAGATTCTACCTATAACTTACATCTTGTGATACAAATCTATGACTTTAAAATATCTATAAATCATATTTTTCCTTCTTAGAAGAGTCTTAAAATATCCATTTCTTTCTCTCCTCTTTGGAGGTACTCTAAATAGCAGATACTATTAGTTTCATTGCCTTTTTTTTTTTAAGATTTAATTTATTTATTTGAGAGAGAACAGGAGGGGAGGGGCAGAGGGATAGAGAGAAGCAGACTCCCAACTGAGCAGGGAGCCCTGACTGGGGCTCAACCTGGGATTGATCCCAGGACCCTGAGATCATGACCTGAGCCAAAGGCAGCTGCTGAACCGAGTCACCCAGGCGCCCCAGCTTTATTGTTTTATAATAATGTGTAAGAGAGGGGCGCCTGGGTGGCTCAGTCAGTTACATGGCAAACTAAGTTTTAGCTCAGATCATGATCTCAGGGTCCTGGGATTGAGTCTCTTGTCCAGCTCCCTGCTCAGCAGGGAGTCTGCGTGAAGAATCTCCCACTCCCTCTCCCACCTGTGCTATTTCTCTCTCTCTCAAATAAATAAATAAGTCTTTCAAAAAATATGTATAAGAGATTTTTTTTCATTACTAGTGAGCTACGGGAGGGCTATGAGCCGGGAAGGGCCACAGTCAGCTCTGGGTATAGTAAGACCCCTCAAAGTCCATGTAGGGAACGAGCTAGAGGGGAGGGACTGAAGGCTGGGAGGACATGGAAGAGCCTAGGACCCATGGATCTGAGTAAGAAAGCCCTTGTCCAAACGACACAGCTGTCCAGCTGGATACCTGCCAGCACCTGAGAGAACTCCTGTGTAACTTTGGAAAGTTCAGCTCCCTCTCTGGGCCTCAGTTTCCTCATCTGTA